ATGACTGATGGAACTCAAGGGTACGGTGTGCAACCATGGTAGTTTCACCACTTCAGGTATAGAGTGTGCATATGTACAGGGTATTTTATTGTGTGTATAGGGGGTGTAGTGTGTGTATAAAGTGATATGGCATGGGTGTGTGTCAGCGTAGGGAGTGGGTGGAATAGGAGATTTAATAAATATTAAACATAAAAAATATTAAAACATTTAGTTCCCTCTCCCTGTTGTTACCAGGTAGGGAGAGGGGAATCCTGATCCCTATTAGTCCAGTGTGCTTGATATCTGGTCTGCACCTCCACTAGGTGCAGGCCATATCTATCTCTCTTGCACGCTCCAGCAGTTCAGAGCATTGCTGCAGATTACAAAGGAGCACACACAATATTCACTGCAGGGAACCTAATATCCCCACTAGCCCTTAAAGTGGCAGTGCTCCCTCTTTAGGCTTTGATCTCCTCTGTCAGCCTCAGCCCATTGCCATCACAGTCTACCAGGCTTTTGACAGGTTTGCCCTATGGCCAGCCCAGGCCTGGGCAATTAAGTACTTATTGGACTGCAACTCATAGTCATAAGTACTGGTAATTGTGCACTAGAGCAGGTTAGGTATGCTAGTTGCTCTCCCACCTGCTAACGTATGCATTTGCTGTTCCCTGACACTTTGAATTTAAGAATTGCACACAGCTAAACATTGGGGAAATTAAAACTTGCAACATCATTATATGAATTTACCATTCAGATGTTAGTTTATGCCAGGAAATGTAAGTTGATGTAACAGAAATTTTGAGTTCTTTGAAATATTTATCTTAGAAATGCTCATCAGTATTAAGAAATACATGTCCTGGTTAGTGTTAATTCCTGTTTTATTTCTAAGTATATTTGCAAATTTTGCAACACTGACCGGCTTTTTGTGTTGATCAACCCCAATTATTCACAGATAGGGTCCTCATAACAAGTATTTTGAGTGACATGTTAATTGTAGGGGAGTTGCTTGGAACAGTTAACACAATAAGCATCCATTAACACATACTATGCGGCCAAAAGTATTGGGACACAATTCTCAAGTATTGAATTCAGATGTTTCAATCAGACCAATTGCCACAGGTGTATAAAATCAAGCACCTAACTATGCAGACTGCATTTGCAAACATTTTTGAGAAAAAAAATGGTCGTTCTGAAGATGGTACTATTATGGAATGTCACCTTTGCAATAATTCAGTTCATGAAATTTCACCCCTGCTTGATATTCCTTGGTCAGCTGGAAGTGGTGTTATTGGTACCATGTAAGTGGAACCATTAAGGAACAGCAGTAACTCAGCCATGAAGTGGAAGACCACGTAAAGTCACAGAGCGGAGTCACCAAGCGCTGAGACACATGGTGCAAAAAAGTCGCCAACAATTTGCTGATTCCATAGCCGAAGAGTTCAAAACTTCCACTGGCATTATTATCAGCAAAAAAACAAAAACTGTGGGGCAAGAGCTTTATGGAATGGCCAAGCAGCTGCATGCAAGCCTCACATCAATGCCAAGTGTTATAAACTGCTCCACCAATAGACTGTGGAGCAGAGGTAACATGTTCTGTGGAGTGACGAATCACGTTTCTCTGTTTGGTGGTCTGATGGGCAAATCTGGGTTTGGCAAATGCCAGGAGCACGTTGCCTGTCTAACTGCGTTGTGCCAGCTATAAAGTTTGGTGAGATGGGGTAATGGTATGGGGCTGTTCTGGGTGTTGGGCTAGGCCCCTTACTTCCAATGTAAGGAAATCTTAATGCTACAGCATTTTGGACAATGTATTTGCTTCCAACTTTGTGAGAACAGTTTGATGAAGGCCTTTTTATATTCCATCATAACTGTGCCAAAGTGAATAGAGCAAGGGCCATAAAGACATGGTTGGACCTTACCTCCCATGTTAAATTTAGGTTAGGATCAACCAGTATAGTAATAGTTCTTTTTCCCCTTAAAGGACCACTACAAACATACTCGTTTTCCTGGCACTATAGTGCCCTGAGGGTGCCCCCACCCTCGCGGTCCCACTCCCGCCGGGCTGAAACTGCTATGTTTACAGCAGGCAGGGTTAATCCTAGATGGACCTGGCACCCAGACCACTTAATTGAGCTGAAGTGGTGTCCTTTAACACAGTAGCATAATGGCTGTTTGTGATAATTTTGTCAGATATGTCCTGGCACCTTCCCAATTTAAGTAGACACACATTTAAGAAGAGTTTGACAACTTACCAGCGGTCCACTAGGCACACTTCCAGTGGTGTACATACCAGGGTTGCAGGGGTCACGGCTGCGACCGGGCCCGGCCCACCAGGGGGCCCGGCCGCCCCTGCGACCCGGTATGTACCCACAGGGCCAGCCTCTTCTCCTGGGGGGCTCAGGAGGCGGCCACCTCAGGGCCCCCCCGAGGCTGGCCCTGCTGACACCCGGCGGGCTGGCTGTCTGGGTGGCCGGCGCGCGAGGGAGCACTCTCCCCTGAGTGCTTCCTCTTCAGCTCCCTCGCGCACTGCACTGATACCGGAGCCGGAAGATGACGTCATCTTCTGGCACCGGCATCCCTATGCGGCGTGCGAGGGAGCTGAAGAGGAAGCACTCAGGGGAGAGTGCCGGCCACCCAGACAGCCAGACAGCCAGCCCAGGAGCACCAGTAGACCCCAGGGAATTCCCCCAGCACTCCAAAAGGTAAGGAGGCTGGGGGGATTACATTTTTTAAAAAATGTGTGTGTGTTTGTTAGTGTGTTTGTGTGTCTGTTAATGTGTGTTTGTGTGACTGTTAGTGTGTGTGTGTGTTAGTGTTTGTGTTAGTGTGTGTGTGTGTCAGTGAGTGTGTCTGTTATTGGGTGTGTGTCTGCTAGTATGTGTGTTACTGTGTGTGTCTGTTACTGAGTGTGTTTGATGTCTGTTAGTGAGTGTGTGTTTGTCAGTGAAAGTGTGTGTTTTGTAAGTGAGTGTGTATGTATGTCTGTCGCTGAGTATGTCTCTGTCAGTAAATGTGTGTGTCTGTTAGCTAGTGTGTATGCGTCTGTTCGTGAGAGTGTGTGTGTGTCTTCAGCATTTACCTTTCTCCAGCATCGGACTCCCTTGGCGCTGGGGATCCCTCCTACTCTCAGCTCCGAATACACATGCGCGGCAAGAGGCGCGCGCGCATTTAAACCACCCATAGGAAAGCAGTACTCAATGCTTTCCTATGGACGTTCAGTGTCTTCTCACTGTGATTTTCACAGTGAGAATCGCGGAAGCTCCTCTAGCAGCTGTTAATGAGACAGCCACCAGAGGCTGAAACTGCTATGTTTTCAGCTGCAGGGTTAAAACTAGAGGGACCTGGCACCCAGACCACTTCATTGAGCTGATGTGATCTGGGCGTCTGAAGTGGTCCTTTAAGTGTGTGTGCATACCGCAGTCGCGGGGTCGCAGCCCTGCAACCCCTGCGACCAGGTGCCCGTCGCCATGTGTTGGGGCCCCGACCCGCGCAGAATAAGCGCGGGGGGTGCCCACGGATCAATTTTCGCACCAGGGCCCCATGGGTCATGTGTACGCCACTGCACGCTTCAACTCTTTCTCTGGAAGGAAGCAAATGTCATCAGAGCACTCTGTCAATAAACTAAGCTCCTCACCACCTTAAATTGTCTGACTATTCACACTGCGATAGCATCAGGGTTCTTGCAGGGTTCTTTTAAGTAAAGCACCAAAATTTCTTCCATATCCAGCTGATACTGCAATAAAAACTATTGCAGCTACAAACACCAAGACTACTTCATATCAACAAAGTTGTCTGGGTACAGTGTAGTCCTGCAATGTAAAACATTGCCATTTTGTAGAAATGGCATTGTTTACATTGCATGCAGGACTACACACACCTCCAGTGGCTGTTTTCCTGAAAGCAGCTAGAGGGTGCTATAACTAAGTCAGACTTTATGTGATTGACATCCTCAAGCATTGCATGGAAGTGTCAAACGTCTTCTGATGCTATTCATAGGGAAGCATTGGATTCAATGCCTGTGGGACAACATCACCAGAGAAGGTTGGGTTGGCTGCACGGAAAGAGTCATGGAGCTGGAGAAAAGAAAACCTATTTTTTTTTCTCCCATTTTTCTTAAAATTACATTTCGGGGGCCCTGAATCTAATTTGGGAATGACACACTATAGTGTAAGGAATTTAATTGTGAGTTTTTGTCCAATATCACTTTTGGCATCTTTTTTCTTTCATTCTATTTTTTTTTTTTTTTTTTTTGCAAAGACCGACCAAGTGGCATGATTGCTTGTGTGGAGGTGTCCAGAGGGATGTCAGAGCACCTGCATGATACAAAAATGGGATGAAAGCATATAATATAGGCGTGAACAGAGTGTGTGTGTGTGTATATATATATATATATATATAGGCGTGCGCACAGGGTGTCCTGCAGGAACATGTTGGAACGCTGTTCCCGCTGTTCCTGCAGGCACTCTGCCACCCCCAAATGCCCTCCTCCTCCCCCCGTGTTCCCCCTGTCATGGGGGGGCAAGAGGTAATGGATCCCTCCCCCCCTGGCGGGTGCCTGTCTCCATCTCAGCTGCGGCGAGGGAGCTGTGTCCTCTCTGCTCCCTCTCGCCGCGTGGGCTATCTGCTGTAGCTGGGAGCTGGAATATGACGTCATATTCCCCCCCACCCCCACTTTGTATTATAAACCCCTCTCCTCTTGTGTAGGGAGGATATGGTTCTACCGTTGCTTACCGTTTGCCCTGCACCACTATAGGCTCTATCTCACAGCCTAAGATTTGGGGTAGATGAGGGGTGCAGTACGTCCATTTCATATATTACTCATCCACCACACACACACACACTTAGGGATTAAAGTATTAAAGTGGGGGTGCTATGATATTTATGTGATATTGGATTATAAGAAGGGAGTAGCAGTTAGACACTTTTTTTTTTTATCTATTACTAAAATATTACGACAGATACTGACAATAAAAGGTTGTCTACTGTCGGTAAGTGTTGTGTAACTATCTCCTGGGGGTGGAGTTTGTAGCTGTTTAAAAAAGTTATCTTTGAGAACAGAGTAGAATAACAGCAGGGCAGGGACTCTGTGAACATCACAAATTTCTCACAAACTGAGCAAACTTTGCAATGAAGAAGCAGGAACTTTTTATTTTCATTGTCGTAAATCTGGGAATTTGCACTGCTAGACTAGCACTTCCAGGTAAGACATCTAAATTACATTTTGACGAGATTTATAACTCCATATATCTTCATAATGACAAAAAATAACAAACACATCCTACATTTAAAACGTCTCCATAATAATAAAGTGTAGGTTCTGCTATTTTGCATGTAATATACAAAAATAATGAATAAAAATAAATTTTTGTTTCTTTAAAAACATATATGTCAGGTAAAGACAATGTTTTAAATGGCATGTTATGAATGTATTTTAATTTTTCATTAATCTTTCTGTATATTAATTACTGAACACAGATAAGCATTTTAACACTTTTATACAATATATTACAAATACAATAGTTATACTAATTATTTTCCTACCCTATACCTACGATTACATAAAGACATATTCTAGTCACCAATTTAATGGTGTGATTGAATGGCAGGATTGGGAATCATGAGATGGTTAGATTTAGAATTGCTGCTTAAAGGGACTCACTAGTGCCAGGAAAAAAAATCCTTTTTCCTGGCACTGAGGGACTCTGCAGTGCCCCCTCCCTCCCACCTGCCACCCATGTTGCTAAAGGGGTTTAAACACCTTCAGTGCAATGTCCCTTGGCACTAGGTCAGGCTGTGCCCACGCTCCTCCCAATGCTTTCCTATGGAGATTCCGGCGATGCTGGAGGTCCTCATGCATAATGTGAGTACGTCCAGCGTATTTTAAAACACTTTTAGAGTTTTAAGAACACGGAAGTCCCTCTATTGGCTGTCTGATAGAAAGGCACTACAGGAGGACTTAACCCTGTAGTGAAAACTGCAATAATTACACTTGCAGGATTAAGGATGATGGGAGTTGGCACCCAGACAACTCCAATGGGCAGAAATGGTCTGGGTGCTGGAGTGTAAATATTTGAGCATATTCCCTTGATTAATCCTCCCTCAAGCAGTCACATGCAGGGCCGGCCTTAGGGGTGTGCGAGCTGTTCAGCCGCACAGGGTGCCATGGAGCAGGGGACGCCCTGTGCGGCCGACACAGCTCACACATGGCCTGCCGGGATTTTAAAAAAAAAAAATGCGGTGGGGCGGAGCGAAACTGACTGCGGGGACGGAGCTAAAAGTGCCAGATTTGTCATCACAACTATCACATACACAGACAACACAAACATTACTTTATACATGGATGATGGGGGGAGAGGGGGTGCTGTGAAGATTTTTCGCACAGGACGCCTAAAGGCCTAAGGCCGGCCCTGGTCACATGGGCTATTGGGTGATAGAAAAAGACAATAGTATACACCTATATTTGGCAGGGGCCAGGATTTGCTGATGCTGTGCTCTCCCTGTGCTGCTTCCAAGATGGCTTCGCAGAAGTCATCATGGTGTTTGTAGCAACCCCTTAAAGGACCACTCTAGGCACCCAGACCACTTCAGCTTAATGAAGTGGTCTGGGTGCCAGGTCCCTCTAGGATTAATGCTTTTTTTTTTATAAACATAGCAGTTTCAGAGAAACTGCTATGTTTATAAATGGTTTAATCCAGCCTCTAAAGCCTCTAGTGGCTGTCTCATTGACAGCCGCTAGAGGCGTTTGCGTGCTTCTCACTGTGAAAATCACAGTGAGAAGACGCCAGCGTCCATAGGAAAGCATTGTAAATGCTTTCCTATGAGACTGGCTGAATGCGCGCGCAGCTCCTGCCGCACATGCGCATTCAGCCGAAGGGGAGGAGAGGAGGCGGAGAGGAGGAGGAGAGCTACCCGCCCGGCGCTGGAAAAAAGGTAAGTTTAACCCTTTCCTCGCCATCCAGCCCGGCGGGAGTGGGACCCTGAGGGTGGGGGCACCCTCAGGGCACTATAGTGCCAGGAAAACGAGTATGTTTTCCTGGCACTATAGTGGTCCTTTAAGTCTTTTTCCTCAAACTGTTATTCAATAAAACCTTTCAGCATTGCACATCTAACTGACAATGTTTTCCAAAACTAACATTATCAAGTTCACCTTATTTTCTTTCAAATATCAAGGTTTTGTATCCAGGTAAACCCAGCCCAGACTGATCTATACTTTATAAATATGCTCAATCGTGTTACATAATGGCTCCATTGTCCTGTCTTTCACTTAGTGAATAAACAAAATATGATGTTGAAATATATCATGAATTATTGTAACACTTTAACAACAAAAGGGTTACAACATGTCTTTATTTTCAGCAGACTGTGCAAATAGTCTGTTTACATGTCTGTAGGTGTTTACAAATTAAACTGCATATTTTTGTCCAAGGACACTTTGTTGGCAAGTACACATACATGTGCACAGGCGCACACAGACAGATGCAATCAAAGAGATAGTCACACACAGATCCACATGCATCCTGACACACACTATAACACATACAAATGCACAGATATAGAGTGACAAATTGACACAGAAATAAAGAAAGAAAATCTATTCCAGCAACATTCTTGTAGGCTCTGGGATGGCTACACTGGCTGCACCATGACTATTTTATTCCTCATCTTTTCTGTGATAGGAACCCAAAACAAGCCTGGGACACTTTGGGACTATATCATTGGGCTGAGGCACAGTTGAATAATAGTTTATTTCCCAGGCACGCCTGCTTCAGTTTTCGTTTTAAAGGGACACTCCAGGCAGCTTAACAAGTTAAGCTTAAATTAAAGCTAAAATACCTGTGGTTAGTTTATTTTCTTTTAATTCCATGTAGTTTTCCCAAAGTGCTGTAAAATATGTTGCTGGTATCAGCAGTGTACCCCAGTCTCCTTAGCCACTATCTTAAATTTCAACTTCATTTGAACTTCCATTACATACAGGAAGCTCCTTCAGGGTCTAACAAGCTATTGACAGAGCAGGATATAAGAAATGTTAAACAGAATTTGCAGTAAAGGAGGTGTAAACATTAGATGGCTCTTTACAGGAAGTGTTTAGAAAGGCTGTGCAAGTCACATGCAAACAGGTGTGACTAGGACTGCAAAGTGATGGAGCTCCGAAATGTCCGATAATTGAGCAGTGAAACTGTATGGGCATGATCTATACACCAAAACTGCTTCATTAAGCTCAAGTTGTTTTGTAACTATAGTGTCCTTTTAAAATCATCAATAACTTATAATGGTCATGTGTATTTAAGTCCTTAATATAAATAGATGCATACTTTTTGGCAAATTTACTTATTAATGCTGGCTGATGACGCTGACAGAGGCGGAGTTGAACCTCTGGCAGCAATGTGCTTTCACTTTGCTTTAACCTAAGGGGTTAACTTTGTATGTACAGCTTTTTAAATGTTCAAAAAATATCATTAATATTACATTGTAATTATTACACCACTAGCTTGTCATTCATGTGTAGAAATTGCTAAATCATATTTAATTTCATTAAAACAAACTAGTTGCTGATGTTTTGGGATACCCCAGACTGTATGTACCCTCTCCTAATGCATAATTGAGAAAAGGCTTTCTAGGTGAATTAACTGTATTTTGGGGAACAAAAAAAATCTATTAGAATATAAATAGAATGATTTGTGTTCTTGTCAGATGCATTCTGACCTAATTTTGCATGTAGCATTCCTTTAATTTCAGTTGGATATTATACATTTCATAACTCAAGGCAGCTCAATGAGAAGTTGCAAGGCAGGTGTTCTGAGCAATTGCCTTCCTCTAAAATTTAGCTACACTGAACTAACCAAACAAGAAGGTAACAGGACTAGTTGTTTGATTGAAAGCCAGAGGGGGTATAACAAGGCACCCAGACTATTTCAGCTCCTTGAAGTGATCTGGGTGCAGTGTCTCTGCCCCCCTTAACCCTGGAAAGGTAATTTATTGCAGTTGTTTATAAACTGCAATAATTACCTTTCAGGGTTAACTCCTCCTCTAGTGGCTGTCTACCAGATCATTAGGCAACTTTTGGTCACCTAACTGATGCTGGACGTCCTCACGCTATGCATGAGGACTTCCAGCGTCACTGGATAAGAGTGTGGCAATTGCCGCGCATGCACATTTGGTCTCCCCACCGGCTGACCTCAGCAGACACGAGCCAGTGCCATCACTGGACCCAGGAAAATGACTGAAGGGGTTTTTAAACCCTTCTGCACCGTGTGGTGGGAGGTGGGCACTATAGGGAGCTATAGTGCCAGGAAAATGTATTTATTTTTCTGGCACTATTGTTTCCCTTTAATCTATAAAAGTGTAAATTTCTACTTAAATCTGCACTTTTTGTAAAATGAAAAGAGAACATACTTCATACAAGCTGAAGTGCTTTAGGGGTCTGGGGTCTCCCTCTAAAGGTCTAGCTTTTTAGTAAAAATCCCCAGATTTTAGATCATCTGCCTGCAAGAACTTGGCCAGTCAAAAGCCCCTTGTTTTGGTCTATAAACAGCTGGACAAGTTTAACCCCTTAAGGACTGGACTGTTTTTGCGATGTTGTACATTTGCGACCAGGCATATTTTTACACTTTTGTGGTGTTTGTGTTTGGCTGTAATTTTCCGCTTTCTCATTTACTGTTCCCATACAAATTATATATTGTTTTTTTCAGGACAAAAGGGGCTTTCTTTACATACCATTATTTATATAATCTCATGTATTTTAATTTTAAAAAAATACAAAAATCTGATGAAAAATTGAAAAAAATACATGTTTTTTGACTTTTACTTGAAAAATCTTTTACTCATCTACAAAAGCGAATGAAAAAAACTGCTAAATAGATTCAAAATTTTGTCCTGAGTTTAAAAATACCTAGTGTTTACATGCTTTTTTGCTTTTTTTTGCATGTTATAGGGCTATAGGTACAAGTAGGATATTGCGGTTTCAAAACATACATTTTTAAAATTTATCAATAGTGACATTGTAACACTATTATCTGTCATAAATCTCTGAATAACATCCCACATGTACATATTTTTTTTAAAGTAGACAACCCAGGGTATTCAATATGGGGTATGTCCAGTCTTTTTTAGTAGCCACTTAGTCGAAAACACTGGCCAAAGTAAGCATTCATATTTGTTTGTGTGTGAAAAAAGTAAAAAAACTAAATTGAACGCTAATTTTGGCCAGTGTTTGTGACCAAGTGGTTACTAAAAAAGACTGGACATACCCCATTTGCAATACCTTGGGTTGTCTTCTTTTGCAAATGGTATGCCATCATGGGGGTAATTCTCATTCCTGGGCTACCATACGCTCTCAAAGGCAACGTAACCAACCTGGCCATTTTCAATGTAAAATATTTGACCCATATATTTGACCTTGTAACTTTCAAAAATGCTATAAAACCTGTACATGGGGGGTACTGTTTTACTCGGGAGACATCGCTGAACACAAATATTAGTGTTTAAAAACTGGAAAACGTATCACAACAATTATATCATCAGTAAAAGTGCTGTTTGTGTGTGAAAAATGCAAAAAAAGTAACTTTCACTGACAATATCATCACTGTGATATGTTTTACTGTTTTGAATCACTAATATTTGTGTTCAGCGAAGTCTCCCGAGTAAAACAGTACCCCCCATGTACAGGTTTTAGGGTGTCGTAGAACGTTACAGGGTAAAATACAGTGCTAGCAAATTAAATTCTCTGGAATTTCGGCCTGGGTTGGCAGGCAGGTCCCTCAAATTGCAATCAATAAAATTACTGAACTATGTAAAAATATTACATAAATACGCACGTAGAATTTAAATATATATGCATATTTATATATTTGAAGTCTACGTGTATATTTATATAATTATTTATGTAATTTTGTATATGGACATATGAATATTTCTTATTATTTTTATTTATTTTTATATACATAGATATATATACAAATTCATTCTAAGTGTATTTTGATATAAATATATATATATTAATTTTAAAATACAGTTAGAATAAAATTTCATATAGCTATATAATTTTTTTTAAATTTTTATTATTATTTAAAAAAAATTTTATTTAATTTAAATTACTTATTATTTATATTTTATAATAATATATATATACAATATATATAGTTATTATATATATTATATATATATGTGTAATTTAATTATAAGTGTATTTTTATATTAATATAAGTACATATTAATATAAAAATACACTTAGTATGGCATTATATATATGATATATAGACATATATTATATAGATATAATATATGTCTATATATCATATATACACATATATAATTTTTTTTTTTTTTTATTAACACTAACTTTATTTTTTTAATTGATTTTACACTAGCAGGGAGACTGCCTGTCAGCACAGACAGTCCCCCTGCAGGCAGACACATGGACACCTATTGTGACCATGTGATCGCTGTGTTAAGAGATCACATGGCCATAGGGGTCCTAATCTGCCGTGGGGAGACTGTCTGGGCTGCAGGCAGTCTCCCCACAACCGGAGCCACGCTGATCGCCGCCGGGGGAACGACGGCGATCAGGTAAGTAGCTCTGACCGTTAGGACGGTTCAGCACCGTCATCGGTCCTCAAGGCAAAAATGCTGATGACGGTCCTGAACCGTCCTCGGTCCTTAAGGGGTTAAACTAGGACTGAAAATGCATATTTATTTAATTCTTAATTTAAGAGTTCTTATACGTTATTCTAATCCAAAATTATAACAATTTCTCCTATTTATCAAACACAATCGGCAACACTCTACTGGATGGATACAGACTTACAATAGTTGTTCATCTTACTGCCTTTGCCAAGATTAGAAATGGGAAAATCTCTCAGCAACACACAAAGATAGCATGCACTCATTTCTTAGTCATCAATATATCTGTTAATCCCAAACTACTTGTGTGTCTGCTCTGTGAGGTGAGAGGACGACTAGTGGTTTCCCTTCTGAACAAATTGTCAGTTCTGCTGAGAACAGAGGTTTCAATTATGTGCAGTTAAGGTATAAGTATTCTATTATGAAAATTGCAAGCTGAACTAGGGAATCCCATCACAGAAAGATTAAAGGAACACTATAGTGTCAGGAATAGAAATGTGTATTCCTGACACTATAGTTTTTAAATTGCCATTTAGATAACTGGCCCCCTTCTTCTTAGTTTAAAAAGGTGTAAAAAGCACCTTTTATTTTAAGCGTCTGGTCACTTCTGACCCCGCCCCTGCTCTGCTTCTTTGGCTGAGATCATCATATTTGATGATCTCAGCCAATCCAAAGCTTTCCCATACTAAAGTATTGGGAGGCTATTGTGCATGCCTGGTAATACACTGCATTGTTCCAATCCGCATGTCCTCATACAGATGCAATAAATCAATGCATCTCTATGAGAAATGTTCAGCACCTCCATGCAGGGTGTGGAGTCGCTGGGCACTGACCCAGGAAGAACCTCTAGTGGTCATCTGAGTAACTGTTACTAGAGGTGTTCCCAGGCAGGAATGTAAACACTGCCTTTTATCTGAAGGAAAGGGAGGGGCCAGCTGCGGTGAGAGAGACAATGTGAGTAAACTACTTTTTTAGCTCCAACCTGAAGTAAGGCAGTCCCCTAAACAGCCACTCCAGGACTATAGTATTTGGAATGCATGTTTGTATTCCTGACACTATAATGTTCCTTTAACCCTTTCTAGCTAGAAGTTAGTTGTTTGTATTAGAAATGGCAATATCTGCCTGCAAATTTTGGTTTGACTGAATTGTGTAAATTCAGTCAAATGGATTTTGCAGGTGCTAGTTCTGCTGAATTATTATAGATTATAAGCGTTTGGTTGTGTTTTTGTATAATTTGCATTTCTACTATACAAATGCATTTGAACCAGCTGAAATTCAGTCTACATTTAGTTTAAGGTGTTTGAGTCATTATTGTGAAATTCAGACATTGCTAAATTTTGTAATCAAATCCAGATTTTTTTACCTGAATGCACCCATATGGTACATAGTTATTTTATGGATTGGGGGCGTTCGGTCTCTCTCTTATATATAAGAGAGAGAATCCAAAAGTACAGCTCATTATATATTGAACCATTGTGCTGGTGCCTAGAGTATCCCATTAATATATTAAGACTCGTCTCTGTCTGGTTTCCTTTGTCCTAGATTGGAAATGCTATATAACTACACGAGATACCATTCAGTATTGGCCTTTCAAAAAGGATTACAAAGTCGATGATGTTGTGGAATCTGTTTGCATGGAAGGATACAAGATGAATGGTTTTAAATTAAGCCAATGTTATTCATATGGATGGGATCCTCCACTGCCCACTTGTGAAGGTAATTAAAAAAAATTTAAACTGTTATTTTTTTTTAGATTTCTCAATCAGCGCCATGCAAATGTTGTTATCCCATTAGAATCTCCATCTTGCAAAATACTCAAGGTTATCAGTTAAAATGAAAAATGCTGGGAATCCATAGTGAATTGTGCATTGTAGGCTAAATTAGCCAGGTTAAAAACGTAACTGCCTTAAAGATATTTTCAGTTCAGCTGATTTGGCCTAAAACTCGAAATTCACTTTGAATTCAATACACGTCACACTTTAGCAAATAACCTTATAAGGTGAAAGCTACAGATTTGAGAAAAATACCAAACTTGTCCAGTGGCGTGCATATCAGATGTCAACAAATGACAAAGCACAGAGAATTATAGCTCAATGACTGCATATGTGTAGTATTAAAGAAAAGGATATATATTTTTTTAATAATATAATTGCATTCATTTTCTTTTTAATTCATGTCTACTGAAATTTTCAAAGGCTTTACTTACCTACTTTTTTTTCCAAGTCATTTTCTTGCACCCATGACCACATACTATGTTATCTGACCCAATGCTCACTATATTACCCTGGGTTCAGGACCAATGTGGCCTACTGGGAAATTTCAGTGTCCTGCATACCATCAGGACGGCTGTATCCAAAAGACAGCACAGACTGCCATCTGGGTGAACAGGCTGTGGGGCGCAAACAATCAGATGACCGGCAGGAGGGGAGTTCACAACACTACCCTACCAGCCAGTCACAATTTGAGAAAGACCCCTTGAGGGTCGAATCGTCAATTTCATGCAGATGTAATTTTACATATTTCTAATTAAAACCACATATCCACTTTGAAGTCCTGTAAGTGCACCCCTTTTTTCTAATCATGTACATTTTGACGCAGGTCAACACCCAGGCACCAAACTATTTTCTGTATCCATGAGTAAGGAGAGTGCCGATCTTTTCTGTGTGTGTGTGTAGATTGGATTAGTCGTACTTGTCCAGTAGACAAGATGCCAGAATACCATAATATTTTAAAGACAAGCTTTCAAGAGTTTTCCTCTCTTCCTCAGGTCTGAAGCAATACTGATCAATCTGATTTAGTTTAACACTCAAAACATGTGATGATAGAGAAGGTGATGGGGGGGGCATAAATTGCAGAAAATGTGCATGAAAGTGAAAGGTGCAGGTTGGCTGAGAATAGCCAGAATAAGTAAATAAACAGAGCAGAGTCAATAAGCCAGTTGAAAAGAAAAAGGAGAAAAAAATAAGAAAGAAAATAGCAGAGCAGGACATGCAAGTATAGCTGCATATATGTATGTATATAAAATGATCCATTAAAGGTTAAGCAAGAATTCTGAAAAAGAACTATATAAGACATTAAGATGTGTGTTTATATAAAGTTTTGTTAGTGTGTAGGCATGTGCATGGGGAAAATTTTCGGTTCGGTTCGGCATTCCACAATTCGGGACTTCGGCACTTCTCTTGCAGCCGCTTAGTAGATAACTCCCTAATTCACACGGTATTAGGGCGTTATCTACCAAAAGGCTGAAATACCTAAATTGTTATTTCAGCCAAATTTACTTCAGTAAATTTTGCCCCTACTCGCTATACCGTGAGTAGAGGCATGTCTATTAAACAGTGAGCAGCCTGCTCACTGTTAAAAAAAAATAAAAAAAAATACTGTCCCCCCTCCCGAGCCCCCACCCGCGACATGAGATTGGGGTTTTTTAAACTAAAGGGGGGACCTATTGCCCCCCGCCCTAAAGTAAAATGATGGGGGGGACCTATTGTCCTCCCTCCAAGCCCTCACCCCTGAGTGGTGGGTGGGGGCCCTAAATACTAATAAGCGGGCGGGACCTAATGTCCTCTCCCTTGGCCCCCACCCATGAGCGGTGGGTGAGGGCCCTAAATTGGAATAAGGGGGGGACCTAATGTCCTTCCTCCCTGGCCCCCACCCATGAGCGGTGGGTGAGGGCCCTAAATTGGAATAAGGGGGGGACCTAATGTCCTCCCCCCCTGGCCACCACCCCTGAGCGGCGGGTGGGGGCCCTAAATACTAATAAGGGTGGGGGACCTAATGTTCTCCCCCCTGGCCCCCACCCCTGAGCGTTAGGTGGGGGGCACTAAATACTAATAAGGGGGGGTGGGACGAGCGCAAAAAAAAATCCATCTTCACCCGGCGAGGGCTCCGCGCAGACTGAGCTCTGCAGGGCGGGAGAAGGCTTATAAAGCCTTGTCCCGCCCTGCAATTAGGCTCAAAGCCCTCTGATACACCAATACATGTACAATGTATACAATACATGTACCTATCAATATACAAAGTACTGTGCGTAGACCTATGCTTTCCCATACTCTTATGCATGTATGCTTATATATGACTGTGCATTTATGTTTGTGTGTATGTATGTGTTCATGTATTTATGTGTATGCGTATACACGTATGTATAAAGTGTATGCATACATGTATGTATATGTGAATAGGTACATTGTACAGTGCTATGGAATTTGCTGGCACTATATAATAAAATAATAATATAAATATATATATATATATATATATATATATATATATGGGTCTATGTATGCATAGGCACATTGGTATATTTGTAGGTACATGTATTGGTGCTTGTGTGTGGATGTACGTGTAGGTGTGCATGTACATATATTTGGGCATTTGGTTATATGTATATTGTATGAACTTGTGTATAGTATGTATGTTCTTGTGTATACTTGTACATATGCACTACTTGTGTATGTGCATATGTGTATGTGTGTCTGTGTATGCTGGATATAGGCCTTCATGCATATCCTGTAACTCTTGGATGGGAATTCATGCATTCTTTATATTAATACTCCCCCTTCTAACACCATTTTCTGCACTATTTACTTGTTTGTTTTGATTTCTCTCTCTCCCCCCTCACTCTGTGATCTTTGCATTAGATATTTACGACCTTCTGCAAGAATGGTATCTATGTTTTATCAAACCTGTCCTATCTGCACTCATGTCGTTTTAACCCTTGTATCACAACTCAACTTTGAATTCTATCTGTCGTATTGCTCAGAAATGCTTCATACTTGAGAAAGGGAGGTTCTCAGAAAAGCTTGTCATTAAAAAATTCTATTAGTCCAATAAAAAGGTATTACAAGATATGAATCTTATCTGTTTTTTACATCTACATCACTGAACTAATACGGCTACAATTTCTACTTGAACATATATATATATATAATTACATTGTAAAACACATATACACACACACCAGTCAAGCCATAAGACTTGCTTTTCCCACACAAATCTCACTTTTAACAGTGCTCTCACTACTGCAAGGGATTCTGGTTAGACGTATGCAAATGAACTCAACCTCATGCTGATGAGTTGCATTAACAGCTGTCCATGAGTGGTTCACTGGCTTTTCTCCTCTCCCGGAGTTGTTTCAAAGCTGTTGTATACAGCAGACACATACTCCAAGGAATCCATGTATAAAGTGGAATTATGAGGCAAAAATGTGGTTCTTTGTTGAGCTAATTTGCATATGCCTACCCAGAATCCCTTGCTTTAGTGAGAGCACTGTTAAAGTTAGATTTTTGTGGGAAAAGCAAGTCTTATGGCTTGACTGATGTGTGTATTTGTGTTTAGCAATGTATTAACTGTCCACTTCAGGGGGAAGGGGTTTTAATCCAAACTTTTCCCCCACCTCAACTCTCTTGGTATGTACTAGATATAGATATAGAGAGAGAACGAGACCAAATCATTTATTTATAATCCAATCCACATATTTTGTAACGAATGATATAAAAAAAAAATTAAGTAACTAGCATTTGATAAGCAAAAATTTGTGCTAAAAAAGAAAGGGACCTATGTTCCATACATGCAATTAATTGAATTTAACAATTTCTTATTTCAGAGGATAATTCAGAATCCGCAAGCAATGGAATTAGAGGTATGTCTTAATATAGTTTCAATTTATTTGTCATCATTCATCTCTTCATTTCAACATTGTACATTGTGTAGCACTTTTAGAACTGCCTTTACCTTGATCATTTTTTGGCACTTGTGAAATGTTAAGAAGTATAAAAAAAATTGGAATTTAAAAATGTTATTACAAACTTAAAATTCAAGTTTAATCTATTTGTAAGCCTTTTTATGCCAAAGGATGGGTAGGGAGAAAGCTTTGCCTCTCTTCCTGAGTTGTGTTTAAAAGCTGTTGTATACAGCAAGCATAAACTCCAAGGAATCCATGTTTAAAACTGAATGAGACAACAATGTTATTCTTTGTTGAATTAATTTGCATATGCCCACCCAAAATCCCTTGCATTAGTAACATTACTGCAAATGTGAGATTTCTGTGGGAAAAGCAAATCTTATGGCTTGACTGGTGTGGAGATCTGTGTTTAACCCCTTAAGGACTGGACTGTTTTTGCGATGTTGTACATTTGCAACCAGGCCTCTTTTTTAGACTTTTGTGGTGTTTGTTTAGCTGTAATGTTCCGCTCTCTCATTTACTGTTCCCATACAAATTATATATTGGGTTTTTTTCAGGACAAAAAAGGCTTTCTTTACATACCATTATTTATATAATCTCATGTAATTTAATTTAATTTTTTTTATTTTTTTGTGTGCAAGTTATAGCGCTATAGGTACAAGTAGGATATTGCGGTTACAAAACAATTTTATTTCAAATTTATCAATAGTGACATTGTAACACTATTATCTGTCATAAATCTCTGAATAACACTCCACATGTACATATTTTTTTTAAAGTAGACAACCCGGGGTATGTCCAGTCTTTTTTAGTAGCCACCTAGTCGCAAATACTGGCCAAAGTTAGCGTTCATATTTGTTTGTGTGTGAAGTGTTTGTGACTAAGTGGCTACTAAAAAAGACTGGACATACCCCATTTGCAATACCTTGGGTTGTCTTCTTTTGCAAATGGTATGCCATCATGAGGGTAATTCTCATTCCTGGGCTACCATACGCTCTCAAAGGCAACGTAATTAACCTGGCCATTTTCAATGTAAAAATATTTGACCCTGTAACTTTCAAAAACGCTGTAAAATCTGTACATGGGGGTACTGTTATACTCGGGAGACTTTGCTGAACACAAATATTAGTGTTTCAAAACAGGAAAACGTGTCACAGTTATATCATCAGTAAAAGTGTTGTTTGTATGTGAAAAATGCGAGGAAAAAAAGTCACTTTCACTGACAATATCATCGCTGTGATATGTTTTACTGTTTGAATCACTAATATTTGTGTTCAGCAAAGTCTCCTGAGTAAAACGGTAACCCCCACGTACAGATTTTAGGGTGTCATAGAAGGTTACAGGGTAAAATACAGTGCTAGCAAATTAAATTCTCTGGACTTTCGGCCTGGGTTGGCAGGCAGGTCCCTCAAATTGCAATCAATAAAATTACTTAATTATGTAAAAATATTACATAAATACACACATAGAATTTAAATATATATGCATATTTATATATTTGAAGTCTACGTGTATATTTATATAATTATTTATGTAATTTTGTATAAGGACATGTGTATATTTCGAATTATTTTTATTTATATATACATAGATATATATACAATTTCATTCTAAGTGTATTTTAATATAAATATATATTTTAATATCAAAATAAAGTTAGAATAAAATTTCATATAGACATACAATTTTTTTAAATGTTATTATTTTTTAATTTTTTTTATTTAATTTACTTATTATTTGTATTTTATAATTATATATATATATATATATATATATATATATACATACAATATATAGTTATTATAAGTACATATTAATATAAAAATACACTTAGTATGACTATATATATATATATACATATATATATATATATATATACACACACACATATATAGATACACATATATAATAATAATTATTATTTTTTTATTAACATTAACTTTTATTTATTTTTTGATTTTACACTAGCAGGGAGACCCCCTGCAGGCAGACACATGAACACCTATTGTTACCATGTGATCGCTCTGTTAAGCAATCACATGGCCCCAGGGGTCCTAATCCTCCATGGGGAGACTGTCTCGGCTGCAGGCAGTCTCCCCACAACTGGAGCACTGCCGATCGCCGCCGGGGGACGGTGATCGGGTAAGTACATAAGACTGTTAGGACGGTTCAGGACCGTCACCGGTCGGCAATGGAAAAATGCTGATGACGGTCCTGAACTGTCCTAGGTCGATAAGGGGTTAATAATGTATTGACTATCCACTGACTTTAGGTGGAAAGGCTTTTCAATCACTTTTTTCCACACCATAACTTTCTTGGTTTGAGCAGAGCAAATAGCCTCACTAGCAAGCCAGTAACCAACCTCATGCGGATGAGTTGTATTAACAACGAAACAGCTGTCCACGAGTGGTTCCCTGGCTTTGTATCTCTTCCTGAGTTGTGTTTTAAATCCGTTGTATAAAGCAAACATAAATTCCAAGAAATCCATGTTTAAAAATGAGCCAAAATGTGATTCTTTGTTGAAATAATTTAATATGCCCACCCAGAATCCCTTGCAGTAGTAACATCACTGGAAATATGAGCTTTCTATGTGAAAAGCAAGTCTTATGGCTTTACTTGTGTCTAGATCTGTGTTTAACAATGTATTGACTATCCACTGACTAAAGGTGTTTTCAATTACTTTTTACCCACCATATATATATATATATATATATATACACACATCCTGATATTTTATTGTTTTGCTTTGTTTGTATATTATTTTCAGATGGAATTCAACATAATTCATTTTGTCCACATCCCCCAAAAATAAGAAACTCTGAAAAAATAACTATTAAAGAAAATTATGTTAATGGAGATACTGTGGAAATTAAATGTTTTCCTAACTTTAAACTACAAGGAACAAACATTATACACTGTGAAAATGGAATATGGGCATCTCCTCCAAAGTGCATTTGTGAGTAAAGTGCATGCATTAGGGATACAATATATAATATAAGAAAAGTACAAGATATAAAAAGTGGTGCACAAAACACTTTGTCAATATCTTGGTAGTGAAGCTCACAGGTTTGATGCAGAACAGGGGCAGTCAAGGGCAGAACCTCAGCTGTTGTAGACCTTCAACATTAATGGTGTTTTGCCAGCATTAGTTTTGACAAAGCACAGGCAGTGTAGTTCAACAAAATTTTGTATTCTACCTTTGATCAGTTATAGTGTAGAACACTGTTCAGTCTCAGTTTTATATGTAAATATCACTGTCTAGTAAATCTGTTTGTTCGTTTGTCCTATTTCTATATTGTAATGTTCACATTTGTCTTATATTGAGGACACGGTCAACCTACTATCTCTACAATTCTTATGCTGAACATTTCTTCTATTTTTAAGTCGTGATGACTCCAGCCTCAAGAAAGTCTACTTGGTGGTTGTTTTTGGAGGATTTCTATACTGAGTAATCCTACTGCCTAAATCCAAATCATAAATAAAATAAAAAATACTGTTTATTAGATATAACCTCAATTAAAACATGCATGCATTTAATTATGCATTTTTCGTTGTGGCTAGATATCTAAAATCAGCTTTCAAAAGCTACATCTAATCTTTATCAAGTCTGAAGCCTTTGCAGGTCCTCCCCTTCTAACCCAGGCCAGATTTTCTGTGGCTGTCTAATCACAGACTTCCCAATACAGCTCAATAATTTACTATTGTGTTGTGTTATATTATATGTTATACATTGTTAGTAATGTATTTTTCTAAAGTTGTTCAATAAAAATAATTTGAATAGAAGAAGTATTTGCAATGCAGCTGCTCTGAGCAATAGCCTGCTTCTTGAGTTTAGTTGCACTGAGATAAAGAAATATGAACAGGGCCAGGGCGATGTAATAAAGTTAATCAGCAAAAATGCCAATTTCTATTGAAATCTGCACTTTTTGTAAAATGAGAAAAGAGGACACACTATCCACATATAAATTGCTTCAGTAGGCTGAAATGATTTAGGGGTCTTGAGTATACCTTTTATTTTTGGGGAGAGACAGCTGGCTCCAACAACCATGCATTCAATATCCATGTGGTTATTCCTGACTAAATATGTCCCCTGTCTGCGCCCAATTTCTGATGTATCTCCCTAGAAAACATAGCACCTTTTATATACCCCATACAGATTTAAAGCACTCACATTGTACAGCGGCAAATGTTTTTTCCACATTCAGTACGGGGGCCATTTAGACTTTAGTGAATAGCCCCACAAAAACTGGAGATCTGATTCATGACCTTCAGACAGCACTGGTTAAAAATTATGCTAGCTCCTCTTAATATTCTTAACAAGATGGTGTCCAACATCCATTAGCAATACAGTAGCCAATTATAATGATGTTTGGAATTCCTGATGATTGGAAAATGTAACTTGTAATATGAGTCATTATATTAAAGGGCCACTGTAGTGCCAGGAAAACATACTCATTTTCCTGGCACTATAGTGCCATGAGGGTGCCCCACCCCTCAGGGTCCCCCTTCCACCGGGAGGTGGAAGGGGTTAAACTTACCTATTTCTCCAGCGCCGGGCGGGCGACTCTCCTCCTCCTCGGCTGAATGCGCATGCGTGGCACGAGCCGCGCGCATTCAGCCAATCCATAGGTTTGCATTCACAATGCTTTCCTATGGACGCTAGCGTCTTCTCACTGTGAAAATCACAGTCAGAAGCGCCTCTAGCGGCCACTAGAGGCTGGATTAACCCTATTATAAACATCTTAAACTGCTATGTTTATAGAAAAAAAGGGTTAAACTTGAAGTGGTCTGCGTGCCTATAGTGGTCCTTTAAGAGATGCTATTATTTTGAATTGGAGGAATGCAGGTGGGAGTTGTAAACTGTTACTGTTACTGTTTTTGTTATTTATATGCATCTTCTTTTTACCCTGTTCTGTTTGTATGGATTTATTCTCATTTAAAGGGGGGGGGGGGGGAAACCTCTGTTGATTGCCCCATTCAACCTTTTCTTCTCTCTATCTATTCTTTAGCTCTAAAATCTAATCTTCCCCTTTCTGTGCTGTGTCCACTTGACTGTTCATACTCTCTTCACTGTACTTTCTATATCTACACCACCAGCGGTGGTGACATTATTATTCTCAGCACTTACTAGAGCTTTAGCTATTGAGTGTAGCCCAGCTTGAGATATGTTCATTTTTATCAGTTTCACTGTTAATTTTCCACAAGCATGTTTAATGATACCTTGCACTCGAGCCTTCAAATGTGTGCTTTTTTGTTCTATACTTTATGAATTATCGTTTTTTTATGCAGATAGAAGTATGTATTCCTTACCATGATATACATACTCTATCCATTTGAAAATAAGCCTTAGGATACATTTATTTTGAGTACTACTCTGTTCTTTTTTTCTTTTCAGTTTGTTCCTTATGTGAGTGCTTGAAAACTTAAATAAAATGTTTAATTAGGAAAAAATATTGTTCATGTTTGTGGAGCAAATTAAATGACTGTAAATCTGTAAACTTTAGGATATGTTAATATGGCATGGAGGCTTCTGGAAGTCAATAATATTTTGTTTTAGTAGAAAGAGATGTATGCAGATACCCACCTACAGTGGCACACGCGAATACTGTGAGAAAATCCTCCTTGTTCCCACGACACTATAGGGCAGAATATAATTGTCATGCTAATTATGTTCTTCAAGGAAACCCAACAGTCAGATGTGAGAATGGAGCATGGGAGGATCCACCCGTTTGTATAGGTATGTAGACATTTTTGGGATTTGTTCCTTATATGGATTTCAGCATCAATACGTTAGTGAAAAAAAAAAAATTAAGATTAAAATGGACATCATTAGGAAATATAAGAAGAAGGTAGAACTTGAAAGCCAGAAAAGAAACCTCAAATTAAATGCATTGTACCTGCATCACATGAACAAAATCATAAAATTATATTTAATTTCCACAATCAGTGTTTACGTAATCTATGTGCGTTTCAGAGCCATGTTTTGCTAAAGTGGAAGATTTGAAAGCAAACAACATACAGCTACTATGGAAGGTTTCGTCTGAGCTGTACCTCAAACACGATGAAGCCATTGAATTTAAATGCTTGCTTGGATATGAAATATCTAATTCAGACTTGCTCAGAATAAAATGTAACAAAGGGATGCTAATTTACCCAAAATGCATCCAGAGAGGCAAGTACAAAAATATAGGTAAAACCTGTACAATGTTAAAAGGATTATTTGTAATTAGGGGACCAACCAGTAAAGTGGGAGATTACATACAACGTAGACAAGTTCAGCTACACATTTGGGATGAGGAACTAACAAGCAATTTAAACCCTGAATGGTACAGAGTTAGATAAAACAATACATGAGAATAACGTGTTAATCGTTGTAGACAACAGACCACGCAGTAAAATCATACATAAAAAGGATATTAATTCACAGGAGGAAAATATCATTTTGCGTCTTTAGAATTGAATGGTAAGACCCCCACCTTGAATATGCTGTGTCCTTTTGGGAACTTGTTTTACATTTTAAATCCGAGTTTATTGAGAGAATAATGATAAACAACAAGTTCACATGCTTTCATTGACAACAATAAATGGTAGCGAAAAGAGTCTAGAGTCAATTGCAGGGCGATATTAGCTGCATTAACAACAGAAGATTCCAGAATCGATATCACACATGACCATCAAGAAGGACAAAAATATAAAGAAATAAGTAGTGAGTAGTGCGACTGAAAAGTGTCCGGTCAGTTAAACTATAAAGAATAAGAGGTATAGTAATAGAGGTATAGTAAGAGCGTGAGAAAAAAGGAAAGGGGGTGTAGAAAGAAATTGGAACACGTAGGTCAAGGGTGGTAAAATCATACTGACCAGGGGTAGAAGCAGAAGCAGGAAAGCAAATCTACCTTGGACCAACAAACAATGTTTGTTTTATAATTTTCTGTACAGATTTCTAAACGCCTGCGTAGATTATTTTTTTTATTAAATATAAAAATTTAGAATAAAAAAATAAATGAAGTAACAGCTTAGCTAGTGAAAGTGTTAATTAAGAGTGTCAGCTGACACTCTGCCAATCATTGCGTCCCTCCTCACTGCTTGCACTCATTCTTCCAAGTTAGCCAAAACCGAAGAGGAGAAACTGGTGCCTGGGGAAACATCTTAAGTGCTAAACCATTTGAGAATAGTTTAACACTTAAAGGTAAGACACACAGATGGACTCCAATGACCATAACAACTTCATAAAGTTGAACACAAATCATAAATGTACTCCTATTAAATGAGCTGACCCATGCATTCTGTAATAGACTAAAGACCTCTAAATTACAATATTTTTTTTCAGACAAACTATTACCTTGTGGACTACCACCATCAATCAACTATGGAGACGTAATACAAACTCTCAAAACAAAGTATGACTCAGGTTCTGTGCTGGAGTACAAATGTCCATCTTTCTATATACTTGAAGGCAACCAAAAAATAAAATGCTGGAATGGAGTTTGGAGCGATCCCCCTGTTTGTTTAGGTAGGTGCACAGTATTGTGCGTTGACTTCATCCGAAGAATGTTTGGTTTTGACACAGTAACACTGTGACAGTGGTAAAGGCGGAAATAAACTATTTTGCAAACTACCAAGTAACAGTCACTAAGGGTTAAAACATGTTCTATACATTTCATCATCTCATTATGTCCCTATGTTTAACGCAGGTAAATATTTAATTTTAGATTTTGCATCAGTTATGTGCCAGGCCAGTACAAATTACTGTGCTGCCTGGGACCAAGGTCACCTGAAAACAAAAAACACGGTGCCCTAAAGCCAGTTCCACTTGAAGCACCTCCCACACCCAACTGATTACAAGCCATTTTCTACCAATTGTTCCTCGCCATATTCCCATAATTCATAGCCCCAAACAAAATTAAGCGCACACATAAAAATGCAGTTTTATGTTTTATAAGGCTACTTAAAATAACCTATTGAAACAAACAAATATGGGGATGCAGTTCCACCATATGGCAATATTGTATTAGGACCGCCAGTACTTTACAGTACCCCAATATTGGTGGGTCCTACACTAATTCCAGCATCGGAGACAAATTAAATAGTTCTAGTGCTAAATAAGCTAAAGTGTATTTTAATCTGTTGTAAGAGCATTGTGAATTTATATATTGCAAAATTAATGTAATTTTTTAAAAAAATAACAATAAAAAATATAGTGAACAAACTAAACATGTTAAAGTGATAGTTCTTTGGTGTATGTAGCCAAATGGACAAAATCCGTTGAAAATTACCAAATTCAGATCACATTGGCTATGCTTATATTTACCAAAGATTTTACTACGGGTTTCTGTAACCTCATGTTGGCCAAAGACAAACCGAAAGTATCCAATAAGATGCACCTTTGCAAATTATCATTCACTTTCTTTGTGCAAATTAATTGATATTTGAAAAACCAGGCAAACCCTTGGCAGCTCAAGAGTTAATTATTTGGCAGCATGCCTATAGAGATACTATTGCTATAATGGAGGTAATGTACCTCCATATGCCCCAGTATGCAATTCAGGAGTTGGTGGCAAGTCTACTTGCATTTAAAACTAGTGACTGGGCAGTTATTGCTGACATTCACTAAAAAAAGGCCCCATTCTATGTCGTTGCTAGGAGATTGGGGACCCCAGCCATTCTGGGAGGATTTCAATTTTTTGGGGGGGTGTGGACAATGGTTTGGCTGAAATGCGGACCAAATTTACAAATAAACAGTAATTGATGAATTCCATTAACAATATCCAGATTTTGCAGTCTGAGTGGCCCCGTTCTTGCAATGCCATTTCCCATGATTCCCACCCTCATGCTATTTCCTCATTTGCAATTCCATGGGATTTTCACATCACCATTGCTATTTTCCATTATTCTCACTCCCTTTGTAATTTGCCCCATTCCCTCGTTGCATGCTATTTACATGCTACTTGCCCCACTCAGCAACAATAGTGGGTTCAGCCTAGAAGCAGATGGTACCATGTCATAGGCATGGAAGACGGTGAATGAGATGGTGAGGGGGGACATCTACACCTCAATAATAAGAAAAAGCCCAGTCAGAACTGATCATGAGTACAACTGACGATTACCAGTGGTATACCTCCACTTGGTTGCAATGACCTTTAATGTTGCATTTACTCCCTTCATAGATAATTTGTAAATTTCCCATAATGTGAATAGTGTGAGTTAACCATAGGGGGTATTGGTAATTTTTTACTTTTTGTCCTTTAGCCCAGTATTTTTCATCCACCTAGGACTGCTGCGTGTGTGGTTGAGTGTGCTACGGACTTTTTTTCTTTTCTTTTCTTCCCAATAGTCATTTACTCTCCCCCCTTCACCCCATCACCAAACAACTCTGAAATGGCTGGAAGTCTCTGTTTTCCTTTTTGGAGATCTTAAATTTGATTTCTCTGACTCTTGCCTTATGCAAAAAATGTTGTCTACTTTTATAATCGTGTACCAGCTTTTTACATATACCTTAATGGATATTGTTCTTGTTATACCTTTATGCACTTGAGATGCCTTACTTCTTATATACCGTTTATTCATTCTAAATACACTTTTAATTCAAAAAACCCTGCCTTGGAGTCTGTGCCACATCCTTAATGTCTTCGTATACTTTTACATAACTACAAAGTATCCTATTAGGAGATACAGTCCCCTTTTTGGGTCCAAATCTCTCTGTCCCTAATGTCCCTAGTTTCTATGAGCTCTAAATTGGTGTGTTTGATTGTATAACATAGTTCTATAGCAATAATACTTAAAAAAAAAAATACTAAAACTAGCACACAGTAATGTGTCTTTACACTACACTAAAAGTGTTTATTAAAAAAATCACTGTCCATCTCACTACTGAATGTAGATGTGAAAATATTTACCAAAATTTTCACTAACCGCCTCCTCCCCTACATTACCACACTCATCCATCCAGACCAAGTGGGCTTCATCCCCTCCCGCCAGGCAAGCGACAATACCAGGCAGATACTAGACCTGATATGGGTGGTCAACCATCGCACTACCCCAACCTTGATACTGTCCCTTGATGCCGAAAAGGCATTTGACTGACTACTATGGCCATTTTTATTCGCTACCCTAGAAAAATTTCGATTCCCTGTCCCTTTCATAGCAGTCCTCAGAACCATATACTCCACCCCTACTACCAAATGACTGATACTAAACACACATCCACCCTCCTTCCCTATTCAAAATGGAACGCAGCAGGGATGCCCACTCTCCCCCATCCTTTATGTTTTTTCATTGGAGCTACTAATCCACCTCATCTGCTCCACACAAGCGATTACGGGCATTACAGTCTGATCCCAATTATACAAAGTGGCAGCCTACGCCAATGATCTCCTACTGACAATCACCAACCCGTTAACCTCCCTACCACCACTACTACATCTCCTGAATGAATATTCAAAATCTGCACACCCCTATAGGAATCAAAAGATGGGAAGATCTAGAATACAATCTTTTCGGCTTCGACTTCCCATTTTTTTACATCTGGGTACCAAGGAAATCACGCCCCATGCCACGCCCCATACCCACACCACTCACCAACTCTTTAGACGCATGGAACAAAATTACCAAAAAATTCCCCATCATAAATAACCCCACACCTATGACCCCTATCCTGCTCAATTGGGCCTTCCCCCCAGGCATGACACCCTAAGATTTTGCTCACTATGAACAAAATGACCTTTATAGGCTCTACTTCTTCTTCGCGAAAGGCAGCATAATCACTTATAACGAATTATCACGACATGCCACAGCATACAACACCCATAACTTCTTCAGATACATCCAACTAAAAAGCTTCCTAGAACACCCAGAAAACAAGACAGCAGCCGTCACCAAACTCTCAACCTATGAAGAAGCTTGCACCCAAAGCATGGTCCGTAAGGGTCAGATCACAGACAACTACACACTCATCAATTACCAGCCTTTGGGCGCACTGGCCTATTTGTCAGCCTGTGAGAGGGACCTGGGACCTCCGGATGAAGCGTCTGACTGGCAGGATATCTGGGAAGCTACGGCTTCTATCTCTATACGTGTGAATCATAAGGAGCAGGCCTGCAAGACCATACTCCGATGGTACTTAACACCTATACGACTCTACCGAATGGGAAGGTCGGACTCAGACCTCTGCACAGAAACTATATCTTATATCCCCCTCTGTAGGCACTGCCCCAAATTGACTCACTATGGGCAGAGATGCTAAGCTGGTTTCAGACCTCCTACAAACAATCATCCAACTAGACCCGTCGATTTGGCACCTCTCCAAACCATGGGACTCCTTAACCAGAGCCCAAAACAAATTGACTAATAGAACAACCCTGACAGCGAAAAGAGCTCTAGCAGAGCTCTGGGGCTCACCGAACATACCTACACTACAGACAGTCATTCGCAAAACAAAGAAAGCAATGGAAAGGGACAGGATCTCTGCAAAAATACAGGAAACATCTCACCACTCTTACAAAATTTGGGACCCAGTCTCAGCTAGAAACATTCAAACCTGATAACCACAACACACTGATTGTTATCACCCCACATCCTCAGCTGACACAATACCCACATACTGGGGGGAAAGTGGGGAGAGACCAACCATCTACCCGATCATCCTCCTCTAAAACCACCAAATCCTCTATCCCCTTTCCCCCTTCCCTAGTCTGCCACCATCTGCCCAGTAAAACCTGGCAGAGTGCATCGAACGGTCGCAGGACCGGATAGTACAAAACACAGGAGCACACCACCCAGCTAGGAGGGAGACCGAGCCCTCAACACAGCAGACTGAAAACAAGGGATCCCCACTAAACGAAGACACTCAAAGACTTTGGGCCAGGTCGTGGCCACTGGCCCACAAAGGAGCCTGGGCTAGAGTCCTACAAGCTCAGAAAGCCTTAGGGCACTCCCATTTCCTCTCTCCTTGCACACACCAGATATGCACCAAACTGTATCAAAACACCTTGGCTTACAACAGGGAACCAATTCTAGCGAGCGATCTGCACATCGGTCAACAGATAAGCCCCCTAAACCCATCACCCTGGACCACTATTATGGTATATCTTTACCTTTTTAGTTTTTTTTTTTCTTTTTATAGTTCAATTAACGTCTTTGTTAAATAATGTTATCACATTCTGACTCCCGATAATAAAAGCCATAGAGCCAGCTGGATACGCACACGGATAGCACCCTGCCCTAAATCAAAACCACTCGAACAACCCGAGCCACAAACACAACAGCGTTAGAATGTATTGGCAAAATGTATATGTATACATGTGTATAAGTATCACGAACAATGTAATGTAACCAGAACCTGAATGCCTGATGACTCATGTTACAAGGTATGTATATCTCTCCATGTAAGGCTTCCTTTCTGTGATAATTGACTCTATGCCAAAACAATCAACCTAATAAACACAGAATGTTTTTTTTTTTTTTAAGATAATCAGTCTGTGTGAATAAGATAATTTGCTCTTGCTCAAAATTATATTTTAGTTGCTTCAATTGTTAGTAAAACACCTACAATTTTTCACAACAGCTGCACTCCCCTGTCCAAAGTCCTACTCTCCCATATAAAATTAAAGTGTCCCTCTTTGACCATTTGAAATGTTAGGAGATACTGTTGTGCTTAAAAATTTGCATACCCTGGCAGAAATTGGGAAAGTTAAGCAATGATTTTGAAAATATAACTGACCATGCAAATTTTTTTTATTTTATTGAAGTGTAGTGGTCAGATGAAGGCATTTATTATCACATAGTTGTTTCGCTCCTCTTTTAAATCATAATGATAACAGAAATCACCTTAATGGCCCTGATCAAAGGTTTACATATCCTTGAATGTTTGGCCTTGTTACAGACACACAAGGTAACACACACAGGTTAAAATGGCAATTAAAGATACTGAGCCATTGGGAGCGGAAAAGAACTGTCAAAAGACCTGTGTAACAAGGTAATGGAACTTTATGAAGCTGGAAAGGGATATAAAAAGATATCCAAAGCCTTGAAAATGTCAGTCAGTACTGTTCAATCACTTTAAGAAATTTTAAAATTCGGTGATCTCGTGATACCTAGCTAAGGTCAGGTAGACCAAGAAAGATTTCAGCCACAACTGCCAGAAGAATTGTTCGGGATACAAAGAAAAACCCACAGGTAACTTCTGGAGAAATTCAGTCTGCTCTGGAAAAAGATGGTGTGGGTGTTTTAAGAAGCACAATAGGACGATACTTGAACAAAAATGAGCTGCATAGTCGAGTTGCCAGAAAAAAGCCTTTAGTGCACCAATGACACAAAGTCCCTTTTAAAATATGCCTGACAACACCTTGACATGCCTCACAGCATCTGGCACACTGTAATTTGGAGTGACAATACCAAAAGAGAACTTTATGGTCATAACCATAAGCGCTCTGTTTGGAGAGGGGTCAACAAGCCCTATAGTGAAAAGAATACCATCCCCACTGAGAAGCATAATGGTTGCTCACTGGTGTTTTGGGGTTGTGTGAGCTCTAAAGGCACGGGGAAGCTTGTGAAAATTGATGGGAAGATGAATGCAGCATGTTATCAGAAAATACTAACAGACATTTTGCATTCAACTGCACAAAGGCTGCGCATGGGACACTTAAACTTTCCAGCATGACAATGTGACAAACGATCCTAAGCACAAGGCCAAGTTGACCTTCCAGTGGTTACAGCACAAAAAGGTGAAGGTTCTGAAGTGGCCATTACAGTCCCCTGACCTTAATATCATTAAGTAACTCTGGGGAGATCTCAAACGTGCAGTTCATCCAAGACGACCAAAGATTATGCATGACCTGGAGGCATTTTTCCAAGATGAATGGGTAGCTATACTACTGTCATGTTTTTTCTTTAACAAATGCCAAACAAAAAATAAGAACCACTCACTTTTTATTTCGAGGCAGTTTCAGCACAGCAAACTGATGTGGCAGCAAAGCAGAGAGATAAACTGACAGTCCTTGAAAATAGAAGTTTAGGTGATGTGTCCAGGGTTAGTCCATAAGCAAAGTCCTTTATCCAGTCCAAAGTTGTTCAATAGGAGATCAAGCAGTATTGAAGGAAATTCCAGAAGCAGAATCAAGGCCAGTCCGAATTAGTTAACCAGGTAATCCAAGTTATAGTTGTATGAAGAGGAGATTCAGAAGGGATCCGGTGGTGGAGCTCACGGTCTCTCTCAGAGTCATCCAAAGGATTAGGAAGGAAGTTTATGCAATCAATCAGATTAACACATTAATTGTTGGAGATTGGAGTTTAAATAGCCAAAGGGATGTGTATTTCCATGTTGTTTTAAAGGGCCAGTAATAAATTAATAAAATTCCTGACAACTACCCTCATAGACAACTATTACAAAATACTGCACGCTCTCATTGATGCTAAAGGGGGCAACACACAGTTTAAGAACTTTTTTTTGCCCCATGTTTTGTCTAATGATTGTGCCATTCTGTTATAACCTACAGTTGAATATGAATCCCATAAGAAATAAAAAGAAATGTGTTTTGCCTGCTCACTCATGTTTCTCTTAAAATGGTACATATATTACCAATTCTCCTACGGTATGCAAACATTTGAACACAACTGTATGTCTGTGTATAGAAGCCAGGAGACAAATCACTAATGAAAAATTTAACCTTGTATAAAATACCTGCATATTAATTCAACTTAAATGGAGAACTGGTTGGGAGAGGTAATTAAAATCAAAGTAGACTTAAACTCTAGATCCTCCAAAGTATGGGTTTGGACTGCAGTATTCAGTCACAATGTTCAAACTAAACAAATAATATTTCCTGGATGCTGGCCCAAACTATAGGGCATAGTTCAATTTGCAGTGCCATTGTCACTTTTGACCCTGTTGCACATAGAAGGCTTATCAATAAACTGCAATCTTTAAGTTTGGATTCCAATATTGTTGAATGGGTAAGGCAGTGGCTGAGTGACAGGCAACAGAGGGTTGTAGTCAATGGAGTATATTCGAAACATGGGCTTGTCACCAGTGGGGTACCTCAGGGATCTGTACTTGGACCCATTCTCTTTAATATTTTTATTAGTGATATTGCAGAAGGTGTTGATAGTAAGGTATGACTTTTTGCTGATGATACTAAGCTATGTTACAGGGTTGATGTTCCTGGAAGGATAAGCCAAATGACAAATGATTTAGGTAAACTAGAAAAATGGTCAGAGTTGTGGCAACTGACATTTAATGTGGATAAGTGCAAGATAATGCATCTTGGACGTAAAAACCGAAGGGCAGAGTACAGAATATTTGATAGAGTCCTAACCTCAACATCTGAGGAAAGGGATTTAGGGGTGATTATTTCTGATGGCTTAAAGGGAGGCAGACAATGTTATAGAGCAGCAGGAAATGCTAGCAGAATGCTTGGTTGTATAGGGAGAGGTATTAGCAGTAGAAAGAGGGAAGTACAGAACACTGGTGAGACCACACTTGGAGTATTGTGCGCAGTACTGGTGGAGGCCGTATCTCCAGAAGGCTATTGATACTTTAGAGAGAGTTCAGAGAAGGGCTACTAAACTGTTTCATGGATTGCAGGATAAAACTTACAAGGAAAGGTTAAAGGAACTTAACATGTATAGCTTGGAGGAAAAACGAGACAGGGGGGATATGATAGAAACATTTAAATACATAAAGGGAATCAAGACAGTAAAGGTGGAGACTATACTTAAAAGAAGAAAAACTTTAAACCCTTAAATTAAAGGGGCAAAGGTTTAAAAATAATATCCAGAAGTATTACTTTACTGAGAGTGTAGTGGAAGCATGGAATAGGCTTCCAGCTGAAGTGGTAGAGGTTAACAGAGTAACAGAGAGTTTAATCATGCGTGGAATATGCATAAGGCTATCCTAACTATAAGATAAGGCCAGGGTCTAATGAAAGTATTATAAAAAAAAAAATGGGCAGACTAGATGGGCCGAATGGTTCTTATCTGCCATCACATTCTATGTTTCTATGTTGTAAGACATGCATTGTATCGATACCTGAATCTAAAAGCATTGAACAGTATTGAAGTGCAGGTGTAATGAGAATGCAAACCCAGTTTCTGATCTCCAAATATAAACAAGTAAGAAAAGCTCAGTACTCAGTATGATGAAGTATATTTAGGCTTCAAATCAAAGTGGCCACATTTTGATACTCAATTGTGTGTTTCTTAAATCATAAATGCTTGTTTTAGAAACTCCGGTATAAATAGATAGATTTAAAGTACTAACATCACCAAGGTGTATCATAAAGCTAACATAGATTGAATATTTTTGGATAAGCTTTTCAAATGATTTATCATTTTTTGGATAAACATTTATTTATTAATTTCAAAATGTTAATATGTCAAAAAATATGTCATGTGTCTGTATGTATGATAAATATATTAATAAATTGAAAAAAAAATTAAAATATTGAAATATTTTTCAAAATATGACAATTTTTAACGTTCATGCAAAAATATGAAATCCTTTGAAGAATGTATCCAAAAATATGAAATTGAAGTCTTGAGATGCCTCTGATAATAAACACAACTTATCATGAAACATTGTTTACAAAAAAGACCGTTAATACTATTTGACTTTTACTGGTATTAAACACGAGAATGTTTTATGTTTTATTCTAGAACCCTGCACAGCAACTGAAAAGGATATGAGAGAAAATAATATCCAATTACAATGGACATCAGCACAGAAAATCTATTCTCTGCATAATGATATTATTGAATTTAAGTGTATACCTCAATATATGATATCAGATCCCAAACTGCTTAGAGTTACATGTAATAGAGGAGTGCTTAATTACCCTAAATGTTTCAAGCAAGGTATGTGTCGTGCCGTGCCCATGCCATAAAAGTGACTAAAATGCCTGTTTTCGCTAATAATATATTTTGGATACTTTCACTTGGGTTTATTCACAGAAACAAAACAAAAGATGTAAACTGCAACATCATAGAATAATATAAATTTTTGGTGCCACAACAATGAACAGGCAATTTTAATCCTATCCAGGGTCTTTCTCAATCATAAGGAAGACCCAAGAAAGGGTCAAAATGTTGTCAACTAGCTGTTATAGCATAATCAAAATGTACTCTATTCAATGAATGAGATGCTTCAGTTTGTGGGGTATTTTTGCTTATGTGAAATGCGCCAGTCAAGTGGGATTGATATGTAAGTTTCACTCTTTGCTGATAGGATGCTCATTATGCCCACCACGCAATTTCTTATTCTTTAATGAATGTTGTCTGTTATCTCAAATGAAAAATGCAGGGAAATGGTCAAATGGCCATATTGTGTTTGGCCCACCACCAACTACGTGTTAGGCAAACAAAACAACCCACATCATTCTTTCACTAACAGCAATCCTTCTTGTCTTTAGTCGTAAACAGAGAGTCAGTTTTAATCTTTATTTTAAACCTCATAATAAAATATCTCAGAATGGCAGAATAATGTGTGTAGGCACCTAGGTATAGAGAATGGAATTCAATTAGGCTCTAAGGATAGGTTGTGCCTAGATATCTCAGCACTCATCTTGTGTCAGCCTTGGGAAACCAAATGAAATGGAGTGGCATTTGTTGAAAGGGTATTTATATAAGGGTTGTGTAGGTTATTTTCAACAGACAATCCAATGATGGGAATGTCTTTACTCTTGTGACAGATTAAACCATGATCTAAAAGTTGAAATGGACAAAATTTAGTTAAGACCCTGTCTGGCTTTCATCGTAGTTAAAAAATACTGATCAAGGTAACAGCGCACCCACAAAAAATACAGTTTTTCATCTTGCAAAGCTACTTAAAATCAAAGTACCCCAATATTGGTGTGTTCTACACTAATTGTAAGTAAATATTTAACTAAGCCTATAGCATAATGTAAGATTGTAGCCCTGGACCCTGCTTTCTGAATAGGGGTGGCTGAGTGTGACGTGTGGAAGGATGTTAATGTGTGGGGGATTCTTCCCCACACATTTTTCCCTATTTATTCTCATTTGGCTGGTATAAACCCTGGTGGTCAAGTTGAAGGCATGATGGTGTGCAGTATCCCTGCTTGTCCAGGAGGGTGTGATCATCGGGCACGTGCACATAACTTTAAGAGCTCCTTTGTAGTCCCAATGCTCAGTCAATAACTCAAAGAACTGACTGCTGCTGTCTAAGTCATTGAGAAGTGCCAGGACTTTGAGGGACAGCTTCTATAGTGACAACCTCTTCAAATGGGCATTGATAAAGAAGAAAAAAAAAATATGGGTTACTCCTAGAACTGTGACCTCTTTGGTGATATACACAGTACAAGAATCCTGTTTGTGCAGCATTTCACTTTAATACTGTGCACATACAGGGATATTTAGTGTTGCTACAGGAAGTCTAAGTAAAAAAGAAAATCTGTTGCCACCATACATAGCATGCTGATGGGAGACATCCAGTGGTAGCACAATTTTCCTCTTCGTGCTTATTTAGAGGGACACTATAGGTACCAGAACAACTACAGCTTAATGTAGTTGTTTTGGTGTCTATAGCCTATTAGTGCAGGTGTTCCTGCCTAGGAACACCTCTAGTGGTAGTCACTCAGACGGCCACTAGAGGTGATTCCTGGGTCAGTGTAGCGCAGTGTGCAGGACTGATGTTCAGCATCTCCACGAATGGAGACGGTGAACATTCCCCCATAGAGATACACTGATTACATGCAATGCTCTGAGGAAATGCTGATTGGTGCAGTGTGGTGTCTTGTGCATACGCAGTAGTCTTTCCTATTGGAAAGCATTGGATTGGCTGAGGTCATCAAATTTGATGATCTCAGCCAAGGAGGAGGGGTGAGCAAGCAGCAACAAGACCTGCACGGAGCTGGAAATAAGGTGAGTAAATTCACCTTTTCAATGGGGTAGAAGGACAAGGAAAGCCAGAAATCTAAAGAGCAGTTCTAAATCTCTAGTGCCATTAATACATGTTTGTATTCTTGACACTGTAGTGTTCCTTTAAGTCCTCTCTCTGCACTACCATAATGACATCCCACCAGGGCCGGACTGGCCCACCGGGATACCGAGAAATTTCCCGGTGGGCCGTCGGCACATGGGGCCGGGCAGGCAGCTGGCTCTTTTGGTGGCCACAGAGGGAGCTCTTTTGGCGGCCACAGGGGGAGCTGGCTGTCACTACAAACAGACCGGGGCCAGAATATGACGTCATATTCCGCCCCCGGTCTCATTAAGCTGCGCGCTGGGGCAGGGAAGCAGAGACAGAACAGCCAGCTACCCCTGCGGCCGCCAAAGGAGCTCCCCATTCGGCCGCCAGCACACAGGCAGCAATTATGTGTGTCAGTGTAAGTGTATGTGTGTGTCTGCCATTTATGTGTGTCTGTGTCATTGTGCGTCTGTCTCTGTCATGGTGTGTGCGTCTGTCTCTGTCATGGTGTGTGCGTCTGTGTCATACAATGTGTGTGTGTCTGTCATGTAATGTGTGTGTCTGTGTCATGGTCTGTGTGTGTGTTTGTCATGTAACGTGTGTCTGTATGTCATGGTGTGTATCTGTCTGTGTCATGTAATGTGTGTCTGTCTGTGTCACGATGTGTGTGTGTGTGTGTGTGTGTCACACAGTCTCTCTGTGTTGTGTGTGTGTCTGTCTGTGTCATATAATGTGTGTCTGTGTCACGGTCTGTCATGGTATGTGTGTGTGTCTGTCTGTGTAATGGTGTGTCTGTGTTTCTGTCTCTGTCATGGTGTGTGTATGTGTGTTTTTACTCACCTTTTTTTTTCCCCACGTCGTGCTGGTCTCCCCTCGACTGGCCCTGCCTCTATGGCTGAGATCATCAAGCCAATCCGCACTGACACAGGAAGCACCTCTAGTGACCGTCTGAGTGTCTGTCACTAGGAAGCAATGTAAACACTGCCTTTTCTCTAAAAAGTCAGTGTTTACATTGAAAAGCCTGCAGGGACAGGCTATAGACACCAGGGCCACTACATTAAGCTGTGTGTGTGTGAGCGTGCCTGCTAGTGAGTGGGCTTGCTTGTGTGTGTGTGTGTCTGCTACTGAGTGAGCTTGTGTTTTTATGTCAATGACCTTATGTATATCCGTGAGATTGTTTGTTTGTCTATGAGGCTGTGTATCAATCAGCTTGTGTCAGTGAGATTGCCTGTGTCTGCATGTGAGTATGCTTACTGTATAATTAAAAATTTTACTCTGAAAGGACCAATATTTTATATTGGAAAAAGAGAGAATATATATATATATATATATCTCAATCATCTAGGGTGGCAAGACATAGCCTTACATATTACATGCGACAATATATGGCGCAATGACTTATGGGGCTGGCATAGATTTTAATTTTTTTTCAGGGCTACTTTGGAATCCCTAGTCTGACCCTGCATCCCACCACCTGCAGTAAGGGAGAGTGACACCGCGGAAAGCAGATTGGGCTGCAGAGAGTAGAGTAGATTGAAGGTATACACTGGTATTTTTGGTTGTAAACCTTTTAGCTGCAAGACATTTATTTCCCATTAACAGCAAGGTTGCATTCATGCTCAATATAGCCAATTGTGCAAACATTCAAAAGATTAATACAATTTAATAGTGCAAATAAATGGTAAACCTTAATGATTTTCATTAATTGTAAATGAAAATTGTCCCACAGAGATAATATTGGCAAACTAACAGAGTGGCAGAGCCAAGGGGGAAATTGTGGTTCTCCCAAAGCGCCCCACCAGTTCTAGAATCGAATGGACCAGTTGTTGTGCAAACCTTTACAAATGATGTTTGTTTTTGTACATCTAGGAACAGACCAAGATAAAGAGCGCGAAAAAACCGATCTGGATGACAAAAAGTTAGACCTTCTGCTTCAAGACTGGATACCAAGAATTGTCGAAGGTACTCCTGCTGTCATCGTAATAGATTGAGATTTTCCAAGTATGTGTAGTTCAGCAACTTTAGGGAAATACCTGTTGCTGGCTACCTTATGGTTACATCTCAATAACCTTGTGATTAAAACCTTCCTCATCTCATATACTCCAGGTGCAGCTACTGACTTACTGTTATAGTATGACTGTAGAACAGATGTTAAAAAATGCACTTTCACAGAACCAGAGTATGTGTGACTATGACTATCAAACAGATGCCTATAGGCAGCTGCCAACTAGGAAATCTGGTTCTTTGGCTTCCTCTGGGGCAGAGAAATGTAATTTACTGGATTCTGCCTCTCTTTATTAATAGATATATAAATAATGAAATATCATGCATTTTTATTTTTAATCATTAATGGAATATTATAACTTCTCTGGAATTTACAATCATCTATTAACTTGTCCAGTGGCGTACTAAGGAGGGGGCGGTTCTCCCTGGGTGCACTCACTAGGTTAGTGCCTGGGGCAGATTGTGTTTGGACTGTGTTGGGCCCATCGCAGACACTCCGCAGTGTGCATGGCTGCAGACCATATGTCTACCGAGATCTGATCAATCAGAGAGTTGTCACGGGTTACCACAGCAATACTCTGGTTCTCGTGAGATTCATGGTCTGCAGTTCTGCACACTGCGGAGATGCAGACCCGATATCACCACTGGACCACCAGGGAATTAAATAAGGTATCTAGTCCCCCCCTCCCTCCATCACCCCCTTCCCTAACATCATCACCCCTTTCCCTAACATCATCACCCCCTTCCCTCACATCATCACCCCTTCCCTCACATCATTACCCCTTCCCTCACATCATCACCCCCTTCCCTCTCACCATCACCCCCTCACCATTACCCCCTCTCTCTCTCTCACTATGACACCCTCTCTCTCTCACTATCACCCCCCTCTCTCACTATCACCTCCCTCTCTCTCACCATCACCTCCCTCCCTCTCACCATCACCCCCCTTTCCCTCACCATCACCCCCCTCCCTTATACCATCAACCCCCTTATTCACACCATGATACCCCTCTTACCTTCCTCCCTTCACTCAAACCATCACCCCCTCCCTCACAGTTTTACCCCCTCCCTCTCACATCACCCCCTCCCTCAAACCATTATCCACTATACAAGCACACACTGTATTCACTATGCAAACACACCACATACACTATACAAACAAACACTGACACACGTATACCTGTATGTGTGTTGGTATATGTGTATGTATGTGTCAGTGTGTGTATGTGTATCTGTTTGTGTGTCTGTATGTGTTTGTCTGTGCCTGTGTGTGTGTCTCTCTCTATCTATGTGTTTGTATGTGTGTGTGTCTGTGTGTGTGTGTGTATATATATATATATATATATTTGTATCTGTGTGTCTATCAGTATGTGTGTCAGTGTTTGTCTGTATATGTGTATGACTGTGTTTCTATGGAACTGCATGTGTGTACCTATGTGTCTGTGTATTTGTGTATATGTGCGTACATCTCAGCATTTCGCCTACACTACACACAAATACAACCCTGCATCTAAATGTCAACACGTCATAAAAACACACCACCATATTAAAAAATCACACTACAGAAAAATGTACGCCTGCATTCAAATGCCAATACGTGCAAACACACCCGTACATTCACTCACACATACCCCATACAAAAACATGCTTACATTTAAACACACAAACACTGCTCAGTGCTAAATATATATGTTTTTTTTAAAAAATACAAACCCTGCTCAGTGCTCAATATGTGTAAGAAATGTGTGGGTTTTTTTTTTTTACATTTTTAAGCTGGAGGGTGCCAAATATAGGATCTGCCCAAGGTGCCAAATTCTCCAGGTACGCCCCTGAACTTGTCTTAACCCTTTTTTCATGATATGCTCTGTTTTCTTTAAAAGTTGTATTAACCACATCACAATACAGTTCAGAAAAGGCAGACACAGGGCAAACAATTGCAAAAGTGGGAAAGAAATAGAAACAGTGATGTGTAAAATTTAGTACAGATGTATTCACACCAACAATTTTTTTGCTTTTACTGTATGCAATCATTTTTTCATTTGCACTACACTTTTCCTGTTTGCATTCCATTCCCCACAGTTTTCTCTCATGCCTATCTTTTGTCCTTTGAACATCATTGTTGATGTATAAAAAAGAGGTGCACGAATGTGCCTTTTTTCCTGCCAAAAATAGCAGGTTTTCTTTAAGGAAAAAAAAAATCCTTTAAGTTGCAACTGTGTCTTTCTTTTCTAGTAATATTACTCGTTTGCTTGTTTTGTGACTTTAACCCCTTAAGGACCAAACTTCTGGAATAAAAGGGAATCATGACATGTCACACGTCGTGTCCTTAAGGGGTTAATTAATTCTATCAGGAAAATAAAGGAGAAAAAGATTCAAAGACGGAATAAAATGTGGCATAAAGTCAGATTATTTTGTTGAAATAGAGTAAAGGCAGAAAATAAAGTCCCTGATGTATAAAGGAGGAGTAACAAAGGAAAATGGCGTGTTCACAGAAAACTGACAAAGAAGTAAAAGGAAATTAGACAATTTTATAAATAACCCCATTATTTCACTTTAATTCTTCTCTGTTTTTCGTCTATGCTGAATATCAGAGGCTAAGGGCAGGGCTTTTGACAATAATTGGGAAGGAGTGTGAATTTAATGTTCATTTTAACACATCACAACTCCATATTTGTTAAATATACAGAAAACTAATATAATATTAAAAATCTTTGGAAGTGACAATTGCCGTTAACATTTTTGCTCTATAATAATTTTATGCCATTTTTCAGAAACTTGTGATGCTCCCCCAGAGGTTCCAAATGGAAAGCTTAAAACCAAACAACAAGCAAGTTATGATTCTGGTTTCTCTGTGGAGTTTGAATGCAATGCAAATTTTGTAATCAGCGGGACCAAATATGTTAAATGTGAGAAGGGACAATGGTCTGATCCCCCTCAATGTACTCGTAAGTATAATTAAAAAAAAAAAAATATATATATATATATATATATATTTTTTAGGAATATATAATATAGGAAACATACTATATTATCACAAAATCAGCATATTTTTTTTTTGTCTATTAAACAGAGGGATGCAGAGTTTCTATAGGAGACCTCGATAAAAATAATGTTGTGTTATACTTTTCGGATGATCTGAAGAGTGTCCATATGGAAGGCTCGGAAGTAAGACTTAGGTGTAAACCAGGATTCCGTCGATCATTTCATGCATCTCTTACAGCTGAATGTAATAATGGAAAAATGAGATATGAAAGATGCTTTTCTAAACGTGAGTACAAAGTAATATGGTCTTTTTCAAACATACATAATGTTTATGTTATGTTTCCCACCCTAAAGGAAGTGGCCATGTTCTCAGGCAAAAATGTATGCCATTTATGTCCCTATCTATCCCCCTCTGCAAAGATGCATAGAGCTATAATAATTTCAGAGTCATAGCACTGAGCATGAATGGAAGCATTATTTCTTTAAGGGATTCTATAGTGTTAGCAATGAAAAGCTGTATTAATAACAGCATAGTGCCTGTGGCGCCCTCTCACCCCCTCCTATGTACTCCCTTCCCATGCCCATAAAGGGTTAAAGACACTTTATTACTCACCCAATTGCTGCACCGATGTCCCTGTGCTCTGGTTCGGTGCTCCACGTCATCTGAAGTGGAGACCTAATGCGCATGTGCGGCAAGCTCTGCAAGCAAATAAGGCCATCCCCATAGGAAAGCATTGCTCATGAAATACCTCTTCAGAATGATCTCCATATATAAATTGCTAGCTCTGCTTAATTTCTTATGTCTGTCTTAAATAGTCTCCAATTTATGGGGCAATGCAATAACACTTGTAGTTTCAATGAAGTTACCCTTTTTTCCCAACCACATGCTCACAAATTTAACCCCTTAATGTACTTCTTACTTTTGCCTTTATTCCAGTAAAACAATGGATCAGGGCTTTATACAGTCTTTCTGCTTCTCTGCAGAATAACTGTAATTAGCCTCCTTTCTCCCATATTGTACATCACACTACAGGTCTGCATTCTCAAATATTTTTAAAAAGGGGTTCCATATAATTTCTACATTATGTTACTAATATTACTAACACTAATATCATTCGTCATTCAAAGATTAAAAAAATAAATCATAAAAATGTTGCATGTTTAGATAATTTTCAGGTATCCTTAATGAACAATCAAACCCTGAGGAGCCAAGCAAGCCCTAGGCAGAACAGGGACATGTGAGTGTGAGGGGAGTCTATACAGAGAAATGTGGTAAAGTGGTCTTGGGATGTGGGTGGAGTAATATGGGGGTAGATGAGTGGGCTAGTATAAATAAGCTGCCATCTTACAGGATAGCAGCCATCTTAATTATCAGTTGGGAACAGTTTGGTCATTCCTGGTTGTTTCTCTCGTTATACCTGCTTTCCAAGTGCTGTTTGCAGCCAGGCTCAGGGCTGAGGCCTTACAAGATGGGGGTCTGCGCCTGCATGCTCAGCTGGTTTATCATCAGGCCTCCGTGACAGTCTCCGCCTCCCCTCCTGGCAGTAGTAGAGGTCCCCAGAGGTGAGCTCACCCACCGGAACATTTCGCCCCTCAAGGGGAAACTATGGGCCCTCCTAAGCTCAGGAGTGCAGGCCTGGCCCTGCCGCCACGAGGCTTTCTTCACCTACCTTGCCGGTTTCTTTCACTACACAGGCAGCAGAGCACCTGCTTATCATCCCCGTCTCTAGCCCTGCGCAGCAGGAGCCGCAGACCTCCTTCCCGGCCCCACTGGTCCACGGCTATGTGGACTGATGGTGCTCTGGCGCAAGCAGAATCTCCTTCCGCTGCAGCTGAGGGTTTCCTGGCAGCCTTGTTTTTATCGTTGGACCCACCATGTGGGTCCCGCAGCCCAAGCGGGCAGAGTGGTGGACAGGCCTCCAGGCGGTGAGTAGGCTTAAGGGTGTCTCCTGGGGGGCAGAGGTCTCCCCTCCTGAAGTGGAGATGGTGGCTGGGAGTTGTGTGAGGTGGCTGTTTCCTACCCCTTCCCTCTGGTGGTTATGGCTCCACTACTCCAATCGACTCCCACGCCCTCTGGTGAGTCCTTTTCTGCATTGGTAGTCAGTCGGGCGGGGTGTGTGGGTAGCCCAGTCGGTTCTGGGGCTTGTGGTTCACTGATGGGTTGTCTGAGGGGGCGTTTGAATAACTGGGAACATAGTTCAGAGGCCCTTTCTTTGGAAGTGCAGGTTAGGGTGGGGTGGGACCATTCTCCAGTTACTTCTCTTGGTTCTTCGGGATCCAGCTTGCCCCGGACAAGACAGTGGGTCCTTCCACTTGTCTGAGCTTCTTGGGGATTGAAATTGATTCGGTTGCTGGGGAATGTCGTTTGCTGGAGGTTGAGGATTTGTACCTGTGCTTATTGGTCTCTGCCGCTGGGTCCCTCAGGAAGATTGAAGAATAAAGACATGTAGATTCCTACATTTCATTTTAATTTTCACAAATACATTTTGTATTAAATGTAGGGATAGGTAAACACAATATTACAAATGCTGGGAAGTGACAGTTGCCCTTTAATAATATAAATTTCCAACTTGTGCATGTCAGGCTTTTTTGAAAATTGCTCTTTTTTATATTGTAGCAACCTGTCGTCTAAACCAAGACATGCTTGATATGAATAACATGGAACTGGATCCTGTACATGGAAATGAAATTTATTACGAGGAGGGTGAAAATGTTAAGTTCAGATGCAAAGAGGGTTTTTCTAGTAAGGAAATAACTGGAAGATGTTCAAACAGAGTTCTCAGCTATCCAATATGTGAGGAACTCAGTAAGTAACAACTGTATGTATAAGTACACATGTAGAACATGTGAGTGTGTGTGTTGAAAAGTGAAATGATTGCTTCATCATATTTTCATTGAACATTCATTTTTGTTAGAGGAATACTCTAAGTACCAAAACGACTTTAGCTTAATGAAGCAATTTTAGGACATCTAGTATGCTCCTGCAATCTCACTGTTCAATTCTCTGCGACTTAGGTGTTAAATCACTTTGTATATGCAGCCTTAGCCACACATCCCTTAACTTTGACTCACACAGCCTCAATGAAAAAAACAAAAAAAATTAATCTTGAAACTGATCTTACAGCACCGCATGTTTACTTTAGAAGTTATCTGACATCTTCTGTTAGTTGTTCTATAATCAATAGACTTAGAGATTAATTTTAGATTGCAATGTGTGCTATTTTGATATAATTGTATACTATATATTTAATAAAATATTTCCTATGTTGGTTACTTTTTCCTCAGTTGATCTGTGAACCAAATGGTAGTAAAATGCTCCTATCAGTGCACTGCAAAATACATACATAATAGTATAGAAATGTATATATTTTTTAGCACACAAATTGGCCCAGTTTAACCTTTTTGGTTTGTTTTCCTGATTTAATACCCAAATTGACATTCAATCAAGATGAACTGACATTCAAACTAATTTTGGGTGTCCAGAAAAAATGTTCTGTCTTCGAAAATGGTTGAGCAAAACTGAAAATTTTCTCTGTGCACAAGTTTAGTTATCATGCACGTTAGGTTGCTTCAGACTGTAGCAAACAATTAACAGAATAGGAGACATTCTAACATAGTTATTTACCAAAGTGAGATTTCAGAGTGAATACAAAGTAAATGTCAAATTTAAGACCAGAGTAGCTGAATTGAAAGCATTGCTAAATCAGTATTTTATTTCTTTTGCAGTTTTGCTATTTTGACCTTAAGAATTCACTTTGAATTCTCCTTTTTGTACAATAAGGGGAAGTTTAAAAACGAGACAGATTTTTCAGGAAGTGTGTAGAAAGGTTGTGAGAGTCACAGTCAGGGGTGTGGCCTCAGTCTATCCACATAAAGTTAAGGATGAATAAAATAAGCATGTGGTCCATAGGACCCTCATAGACCTGAGCGGAAACAGAAAACACCGGGCTTCACCCTTATGCACTATGGGTGGGTTTATTAAAAATAAGATTAAAATGGAGTAACACACACCCCTTATGAACTGATTGGAGAATGAACTCCATGCTCATTATATATTATCTTAATTTGTGTCAGCAGCAGCTTATCGAATAATTTCACCGTAGGTGTCAATGTCACAGTTCTTTCATATGATTCATAGGATTATGCTTGTTATGATTATTATTATATTATTATAACCGTGTTTATTACCACTCTGCTTTCTTTTTATAAAGGATCAGAATGATGAGAAAACAACCAACAAGATAGATATGTGATAAATATGTTTTAAAGCCTGTGTGGTATTCTCTTCTAAGAGAGATTTAAGCTCCAACGGATATCTATATTTGTGAAATGGTAAATGTTTAAGAATGAAATCAATTTAGTTACAAAATACATTAAGTGCAAGTATGTTTATTCTATATTCTATGTCTTAGATGTTTCCTTTAATTGTCAGGTTATTCTATAAAATATCTAATTAAAATGATTATTGCAAGTCAAAAAATCTGCTTATTCTTAACAAAATTATGCAATTCCAAATAACTTGACTCCTAACACATCATAATTTAATGATATGGTGTTCAGTAATAACTAAAGCTCAATTTAAGATTTTGGTGCTTGCTTACAAGTCCCTACATAAAGCTGCTCAAACCTACCTATCCTCCCTAATACACAAGTATGACCCGTTGAAGCCCCTGTGTTCTGTTGAAGACATACTCAACTTGACAAAGGCTCTTCAGCCGAAACGTTGGGGGTTTTTTGATTGACTCTGTCCCTACTTCTCACTGAATTTGGTATGGTTTGCTGCATTTTTTTATATGTCTGGGTTTTCATTATACTAGTATTATAGTGGACTGTTTGCATGATATTTCTTTCATTCATTTATTACGCATTGAGCTTTTATATTTGCTTATATCATTGCTTTTCTGGTCAATGCTTTTGAATAGCATGACTTTGTACCTCTGTGGATAATATTTAAAGAGACAGTCCTATAGTATATACCCATTTAATAAAGATTTTTTCATATATATAAAGATTTATGGTTGTGCTCCTTACTCTATTCACAATGTTATGTATTTTGGGTTCTTTAGGGGATAGAGCCTCATGTGGGTGAGCACCCAGTATTCATTATATTAGCCTTTTCCTGGGGCTATTTTGTTGTTTAGTCGAGTGTGCCCACCTTGTTTCATTTGCATTATCTGTTGAAGACATACGTCTATCCTCTGTCCGTACTCCCACATCTGATGCTCGCCTCCAAGACTTCTCAGGGCTGCACCTTTTCTGTGGAACTCCCTTCCCTTCTCCACTAGACCTTTACCTAGTCTCCACTCCTTCAAAAAAATCTTTGAAAACACACTTCTTCAGGAAAGCATATCATTTAAACTGTTAGCGGGTTTTCATTCATTTCCCCTCCGCCCCCCCTCCCCCCCCCACCACCACCACCACCACCAATTATACAGCACTATGGAATTTGCTGGCACTACATAAATAATAATAATAATAATATTGATTTTAGTATAACATTTATTTTTACATCTTCTCCTCCCATAACTATACAGTGACAGTAAAAAAAAAATTGTTTCTTTTTCTCTTCTTTTAAGAGATTACTGGAAAATAACTTAATTATTTATTTACCACCTTTGAATAGGTTGGACTTTGTTAATTAGAGAAACTACAGATTGTTGTCTTGTAAAACCAATTATTCACATTGCTAGTATCTACCTTTTGAATTTGGTTTATTATGAATTTCTAGTTGTCACTTTTTAGGACACAATACTAATAAAGGTTGAATTTTAGATTTTACCACATCATTCATTGTACTTTTTTGTTTTAAAAAGGGCTAGAAACCCTCGGTCTAGTGGTTGACCAACAATGACATCTTTAGGTATCTTTGTGAGAATTATGTATAGATGACACCGAAAAAAAAAAGCGTTAATAAGGTTAACAAGTGAGATGGTATAAGGAGAAAGCAAATTAACGGCCAATAACAGAATCTCTGGATACTCCAACTGAGACGGATAGTAGGTAAGCGGTGATGTCAGAAAAAAAAATGCCAAATGAGCATTGTGAGAGACAGGAAGAGAACAGGTAAAGGACTTTGTTGAAAAGGCCAAGGGTTTTGAAGAAAAACTGGGTGGCCAATAGTGTCAAGTAGCAGTAGAACCAAAAAGGAGAATTAAAAGTGTGTAACTGCCTTTTGGATTTAGCAGTTATTAAATAATTAGTCAATGTCGTAAGGACTATTTTAGCGAAGACAGGAGAAATCCTATTGAAGAGGGTTTTGGAATTGAGAAAGTGAGTTACATGGATGTATGCAAGCTGTTTTATAAATGTAAAAAAGATTGTAGGAATATGGGATCTTACAGAGTCTGTGAAATGATCATGTAGACTTCAACAGAAATTTCAAAGCAATCAAAATAAATCAAATCAAAATAAAGTAAGGGCTGGTTTATAAATCCCAAGTAAGAGCCAATTTTGGAAAAAGTTGAAAAAGGTAGATATTTTGTCTCAATATCCTGCCATTTCCCATCCATTATGACTTCTGTAGACAATATAACTGATAACTGACTTTAATTTTTTTTCAGTGGTTAAAAATGTTTTTTTATTCACCAAATATATGAGCTTTGTTGTCATCCTTGAAAAGGAAAACTACATCATCTTGGAATACTGTTCCAGTTTCACAAATTGTGTTCAGTCTTCAGTCTCCTAGAAAATATGAAATATAAAATCAGTTCACAACATTTCTAGATAGTAATTTTCAGAATATGATACTTTAAGCATTATTTTCAGACATATAAGACAAGCAGTCACATTACTTTCACATTTGCATTATAATAAAAGTTTGGGCAAGGCATTTGATCTGGTTTTCAAATTTACACAGAAAAAGCCATACCTACCTGGGAAGTATTTTTCTTCACAAGTATAGCCATGAATCATTCAACTGATGACATTGAACATTGATACAAATAAGAATGTATATAAAGAACAGGTAATAATGTATGAAAAAGAGGCCAGGGTCTTGCGTTATCATTTCCCATAGGGCCATGCGAAGAAGGTTATGGTCATATAATCAACCTTGCCAGCAGTATGCTCTGAAGGACATTCAAGTCTTTCAGCACCTTAATTCACTGCACGTTTCTGCCTCAAGGTGTCATATTGGTTAAAATCCAAATGTTCTCCAAATAGTGGAAGGAATAAAATCAGGAGAGAATGAGAGGGAGCTGGACTAGAGTTGAGGCATGCCAGTGACAAAATCAAGCATATATATCAAAGTGTTCTGAAAAGTGACAGTTATATTCCATCATTATTTTGATTGTATTTATGTGTTAAAAGAACACCAAATGTAGAGTGGAAGAAACAGATGTGAAACAGAACACTTTTTTTTTAAGGCAAAATGTGCGGAAATATCAATTAATCCATTGAGTGTCCAAAAAATTGGGGTATGTTAAAAAATGATGGTTAGCGCACAAAAAAAGCAACAAATCTATAGTACCAAACGGGAAGCAACCCAGCCAACATCTAGATAGCATCAATTGCCCCTGACCAGAGATGGATAGCTCAGATCTGTCACATGATTTTATAGAAAAGGTAAAAGGTATCAAATGAAAATGAAACTTAAAGGAAAGATATAGTATCTCTGGAACAATATTCATATTGAAGCAAGTGCCATGATGAAGTAACCTGCATACATTTTGCCATAAATTATATGTAAATGTGCCAGAAATACTTAATACATAAATCTCCCCCAATGCCCCTATGCAGTCAGAAAGGGGCCTGTCAGCCCAGAGTGGACACATCTCCAGAAAGCCATCTAACCAATCAAAATACACCAAACAAACAAGGTGCCATCTCCCCTATAATGTAGTCATAAGTTTCAATGACTTACCGCTTTCATAACAGAAAGGATAGATAATATCTTCTTTAATGCACAGTCCAGTTAGATCAGAGATACTTTTATACCCTGGTTTGCAGAGAAACTCAATTTTCTCACCATTATTATAATATACTTTGTCATCATTAACTGGATCAAGCTCTAAATGATTTCTATCCAGGTATTCTTGATTTAAACGACAGGGTCCTGGAAAATAGATTAGATATATTTACCACATATTCTAGGGATTTGGCATAGAACTGCACATTTTAGGTCAAATAACAGTGCTAGGAAACAAACTAAACTAGAGAATTATTCCAGTCGGGCTATTTTGACCTAAATTTCTCAAAACATCTTTTTTTTTTTTTTCATAATTCACAGTTAAGTGAAGCATTGACCTCCAGCATTGTTTTGCATCATTCATATCATAAATTTGCACTTTTTACAAATAGGCTTGTCGTGGTTTATAGGCATGTTCCTCAAAGGTTGTGATGTGCAGGGTACATCCTGTCTGCTAGCCTATAATCACTGATTTTTCTACTGACCCCCTAAATGATGTAATCTTTGACCTGCTTTGGTGTATTCAAATATTGCAATGATGTATAGATTGTGGCTTCTATCCAGAGACAATGATGGCACAAGCAGACCTGTATTGCTGAGAGATAAAGAAAAGAACCATGAGACTTTGAAGGGAAGCTGACACATAGACACAAGAGGGACAGAGAGACACGGATAGACAACTAGGAGACTCAGAAACAGAAAGCCACAGAGCTTTGACATATACATTGGAGGCAGATAGCCAATAGGGATGTGAGTCTGGGATGAGCCAAACATCACAAATGTGTTTCATGAGACATACTTTGACTACAACACCTTGGAAAGTGATTAGACGATATTGAGGGAAAGCAGATAGATATAGGTAGGGGCTCTCAGACATGAAGATGCACTCCTTCAAAAAATAATTAAAAACCCACTTCTTCATAAAAGTGTATCAATAAAACTGTTAATAGCTCCCAACTGATTCCTCCCCTGCAACTGTCATTAGTCTAATACTATCCTTTCTTTTTGTGTCACTATACCCCACTCCCTCTAGCATGTAAGCTCATTGAGCAGGGCCCTCAACCCCATCTGTTCCTATGTGTCCATTTGTCTGGTTACAACTACATGTTTGTTCGTCCACCCACTGTAAAGCGCTGCGGAACTTGTTGGCGCTATATGTATAATAACATAATAAGGAAGGAGCTGAGATGCACTGAGCTATTATTGACAAAAAAAGATGCACTTAGGAAGACAAGTATAAACAAGGGGGAGGTCACAAATATTAATGTATAAAAGTGTTAATATTGATAGAAGCTGTAGACTACCTCATTACTCCAGTACAATGTATGGTGTGCCATTATGTGTACATGCAAAGTTTATCATACTGCATTAAGATGTATGAAGAGATAGAACTGATACTGGAGTTATGACAGTTAGAATTACCAATCTTCATATAGTAGGTGACATAGAACAGTGGAGTTTTAGTCCAACAAATCACTCATCTTTAAAGCAGTATGCTATGTATGCTTTATGTTTGATTAAGAGAATAGTTCCAAAATGCTGCTCATTACCAAATACTGTTATTAAAAGATACTCCAATATTAAATATAAATATGTTTGAAAAAATGCTACTACTCCAAACTCCAATATTAATAAAAGATAATACTTACGTTCATTAAAGCATGTGGGATATCTCATTACTCCATTATAGCACTCCAAACTTAGAACAGATACAGTGAAAAATCCAGGTTTACACCGAAGGGGTATTTTCACTCCATGATCATACATACTATCTTTAGTAATGGCCACTCTCATTATTAAATTATTCTTGTTGATTTCTTCTAATGACAATCGGCAAGGCTCTAACAAAATTGAGGCAGAATTGAAATCAGTTACTTCTCAATTCATTGCATTTTCCATAGAAAAAAACTAAACAAACATATAGTAATGGTTTGTCTATTTTGATAATATCTTAAAATTAGTCATATGATTGAATAATAATGAATTTGGGGGGATTTTTTTTCTAACATGCATTTCACAAATGGCATGGTTGATCTTGATTGACATAAACAGCTGATAAAGTGAGTAGAAATCTATTTTCGATTTCAGAGTATCTAAAGAACATGGGGGTGACCTTAGAAGGTTCTTAGAATTGCCAACATAAATATTGTATCAATAGCATTGACTTTGGAATGACAATGTATTCTTGCATCACAAAATATGATGAATAAAGTGGAAAAAAAAAACTGTTTTAAAAATATAATTATTGTAAGGAAACAAATTGTAAATAAAAAGAGGACAGATTACGAGATGACAGAAACGTGTAATTTTTTCAAGGCAGGCCCTACATTCCTTCTAGTATCTGTATTTTAACAGGTGAAAACTAAAAGAAGATTAGCAGTAATTTTAAAAGAATCGTTTTCAACAAATTCAAATTAATGGAGGATTATGGTAGTGGTCTTGTATGAAGACTGACTGAAATTGAAACCTGGAAGCTTTGTGGAAGGGAGCTTTAGAAATCTAATGCCTCATTTCCACTGAGTGGTATGGTTTGGGTCTGTACGGTTCGGAAGGGGTTAGAATGGTCCAGCCTATTTAGGTGAGCATTTCCACTGCAAGTCTGACTGCCAGGGGCATGTGGGGTTTAGACCAAATGCCTAGCGTGTCATTTGTCACGGGCATTGACTTTTTCCTGTTTGCCAATCAATGGATTGTAGAGTGTGACGCCAGTAGCGCCACCCTAATCGTACCGTACCATTTCCTATGGAACTACATCTGAAGGGTGCCCAGGAATAGTGCAGTTTGGTTCAGTTGTATTGGCCACTTTCATAGTGGAAACACTCAAAATAGAGTACCAGACCATACCGACCCAAACCATACCGCTCAGTGAAAACGGGGCATAAGATACATGCATAATAAGACAATACTTACTCTGTTTATTACACTTTGGGTAGTTTATTTCACCTTTATTACATGTAACTCTGAGCTCCTGTTCTGGAATCATTCCCTTGATGCATTGAAACTGCAGGCTCTCCCCATCTTCAATTTCCAAATGTGTATCTGACAGCACAATATAATTTATCAACATCACTGTTTTTGATAAAATGCAGGAGCCTGGAAATGGTATACAAATATTTGTATTAATGCTAGTTCAGTGTGATATCATTGTAGAAATACTCAACATGAAATTTGTTTTCCTAAATGTTTACGTGAAAAAAATTCCTTCAATATAGTTAAAGGAACACTCTATATACACTATAACGATTTCATCTAATTGAATTGGGTGTATTACCTTGAATCTTTATTTAAACATTTTCGTGAAAAGCGGGAGGTACATGAGTGGAAACAGGTAAGTAGGCCTACAACAGCCATAAAACTATTCCAACACAGATATTACACTAGTAGTCAGCATGACCGTAGCAAGCCCCAGTAAAACAGGGGTGACAGATCCTTAACCCACTTGAACTATGCCCAAGTGGGCGAACTAAATGAGTTCCATATTAGGAGTCAAAAGCCGTGGGTTGTGAGCATGTAGACTGTGTTCAAAATGGAGAGTTCTGGAAAGGAATAGCAAGAGGGTTGAGGAGAGGAACTATTTTTAGAAAGAGAAGCGGAGGGTAAGAGGAAGAAAAAAAAGCAGGGTGGAGTGGGTTTGTTTATTTGGGTCAGGCAGGGGATGAGATTTGTGTTCTGGGTTTCTCTGGTCTAGAAGGATGGGGGGGTATCAGTACCCTTCCAGGAGATGCAATCCAACCAGGGTGACCAGGTAGAGATATATTTGTCAGAGGTGCCCTTAAGGGCAGAGGCCAGGGATTCCATTTCGGAGACCTCCTCCATCCTAGTCACCCACTGCTGGAGGGTAGGTGCACCCGGAAGCTTCCAGAGGTTAAGCTTGGTCAAGGATTTTTGTACATCTTTAGTGGCATGCTGATATGATGCAAAAGCATTGGGAGCAGTTGCAAAGGAGTATCGGAGTCTGTGATTTCCGTGATATCCCTGGTATCAACGTCCAGTAGGGGGAGATGTTGGGGCAGGACCACCACATGTGAAGCTAGTGCCCCTTGGAGAGCTGCAATCCCAGCATTCATTAGGGATTGCTGCGTTCATCCAGTGGCGTACATCAGGCATTCTATACCAGTTGGTCAGCACTTTATGGCTCATTTTCTGGTATTTGGAGCTGATGGAGCATTTATGGGATCAAACATATATCTTGTCCTATTCCTGGCCCGTGAGAGTCACCCCATCTCCTTCTCCCACCTGACCATGAACCTGGGGACCTTCATCTCTCATCCCAGTAGTAGCATAGTGTATAGTGTTGAAATTCCCCTAGAGATATGAGATGGCGAAGTGCAAATTGTTTCAAACTGGGTGAGAGACCTATTGTTCCTCCTTTCATTCTCACGTCATTAATCTGTTTTCAAACAGTTAAAAGAGGGTCCCCCGCAGCCCAGCATTCACTAGAAATATGCCTAAAGTAGTGATTACACTTCACCTTAGCCTTACCAACTTTTTTCAGAAAAAGTGCAGTGTTTACATTACAACTTAGGGATACCTTCACTGGCCACTCCTCAGGTGGCGACTAGAAGTGCTTTCTGGGGCAATGCTGTCCACTGTGCAGCACTGACATTCAGCTTCTACACCCTCTGCATGGAGACACTGAACTTTCCTCATAGAGATGCATTGATTTAATACATTTCTATGAGGAGATGCTGATTGGCCAAGGCTGTGTTTGGCTTGTGCTGGTTTTGCCCCTGATCTGCCTCACCGACAAGCTCAGCCAATCCAATGCTTTCCTATGTGAAAGTATTGTGATTGGCTCAGAACATCACTTCTGATGATGTCAGCCAAGCTGGTAGATCGAGGCAAAGCCAGCAGCAGCAGACTGGAATAAAGGTGAGATTTTGCAATATTAAGGGGATCAAGTGGAGGGGGGGAGCAGACAGTGGTTTTAACACTAAAGGGTCAGGAAAACGTGTTTGGGTTTATGACCCTATAATGTTCGTCTAAAATACACGTTAGCTTATTTAGCACTAGGACTATTTAATTTGGCTCCCATGCTGGAGTTAGTGTAGGACCCACCGATATTGGAGTACTTTGAAGTAATATTTGTTTGCTGAAGTAGGTGATTTCAAAACTTGAAATTCAGTTTGTTCTGTGTGCTATTCCTTAATCTGTATTGTGTATATATTTTGGTCACTACAGCAGCACCATTTGTGCAAAATGCATGTCCTGGGTGTTCCCTTTTCGTCTAAATCTAAAATGATGGCTAGCCCATACACAGAGAAAAAGGGAAATTCACCAAACTTCTGAAGTCTTCAATTAAAAGAAACAGCACTGTGAATGCTTGTTTACTGTCCAAAGCAATAAAATACCAGGCAGGATGTACAAAAATATGTGTGTCAAAAGAAAAATAAATATAAACACAAAATGTATGAAAAAACTAGCAGACACCAAAAACCATTAATAGAACTCTTAGAAAAATGAACGTGTTTCGCAAATATCACAAGACGCTTCCTCTGCAATAAAAGTAGACATAGAGATTGTGGTTTAAAAAATACATAATGGGTAAGGAAGCAAGCTGAAACCTCCCCCTAATCTAGGTATGTTCTGTTGCTCTGCATCCTTGCAATTAACCATTTTAGTAAAATTACCAATAGAGACAAATTCCTTAAGCCAATGATATGTTAAGGATGCTCTTTTAGCTTGGAAGTACAAGAAAGATGCCCCCTATAGGAGAGTCTAATAATGAAACATGAAGGTTGTATTGAGCCGTCTAATGAGACAGTTTGACCATTAATAATACAAAGTATGCCTTAAGAGAAAAGGAAAAATTATAAAAAATGAACCAACCTTAAAAATTACCCAGAAACTTACATGGTAAATGACAAAATCATCTCATCATGCATTTTAGTATCAACTTGAAAACATTACCATTGAGAAGATGAAATTGTTATATTGCTAGTTATAGGACAGATTGGAACAATCTTGCAAAATGCCAAAGTCGTTAACCTGAATGGATTTAATATAGTTTGATAAATTGTAACCCTTTTCATAGCTAATGTATTCACTTGTCAAATGAGAATTCTCATTATTAAATGCCACAACATAAATAAATCTTACTATTAAAAGGGAAACAAACCCCAATAAACATAAGAAATAGACTCCAAATGTCCTCTAAGTAGGGTTAAAGAGATTCTATAGTGCCTAGAAAACAAAGCCGTTTTCCTGGCACTATAGGTCCCTACAGTGCCTCCCTTCCTCGCGCCCCCCCTTCCGCAGTAAAACCCCTTCAGTCACTTACCTGAATACAGCACCAATGTCCCTCAGTGCTGAGTCAGGCTCCATCCACACTCCACCCCGAAAATGGCCGTGATGGCATTAGGATTTCCCCACAGGAAAGCATTGCATCAATGCTTTCCTATGGGGAACAATCTGACGCTGGAGGTCCGTCCAGCGTCTGATACCAGACCAAAGGTTTGTTTCAATTCAGGAAGCCCTCTCATGGCTTTCTGGTAAACAGCCACAGTTTTCTGGCCAAGCAACTTCCAGTCCCAGATCCATATTTGTTAATGTTTTGAAGTGTGACTTTGTCTCCATCTAGTGGTTTCTGGATTTACCATATTTTCCTAGATACTTCTACTTGGGGGATGCTTTTAACATGAAAAGCGCTGCCCTGTACGTAGCATTTATACCTGCACAAAGTAAAACAACTAATCATAGTTGCTCATTTGGGATCTCATCTTTATTAAAGGGACACTGTAGGTACCCAGACCACTTCGGCTCATTGAAGTGGTCTGCGTACAGTGTGCCTATAGCACTTAGTGCTGATATGTAAAACATGCATGAGAACATTCGTCACCAATGGAGAGGACCTATTGCGCGTACAGCACTGCTACGCATGCGCATTAGCGCCCCCTCGCTAGTAACGTCCGAGGAGGACGAGCCACGACCCAGACATAGGCACTGAGATCAGGTAAATAAAGGAATTTTAACCCTCTATTCACTGTGGCGGGGAAGGGGGTGCAAGGGAGGGGGGGAGGCAGAGGGAGCTATAGTGCCAATAATAGCTTTCTATTCTTGGCTCTATAGAATCCCTTTAAAGAACTGATTTACATCCTGCAAGATATGAATTAAATACACATATTCTAGGCAGCTCTTAGCATGTCCTGTCTATCAGCATGTCATATTTATACATGCCCAGCGAATTTTGGTGCATCTGGAAACCCTTCTCAATACCGCACGCAGTAATCAGGCTTACCTTGCTTAAAGCATCTAGGGTACATTAATTTTCCTCTGTTGCATTTAACTCGAAGCGTTGAAGATGGCTGAATTTCAAATCCAGGGGAGCAGATAAATTCCACAATGTTGTCATGTTCAGAATACAATTTATTATCTGTTTTCCACCTTAGCTGTATGTTATTTTTTGTCATGTCTTTCTGACTTACTGTGCATGGTTCTGAAAACAGAGGAGACAATTTCCACTCATTTCTTCATTTTAATTCTAAACACAAGCACAAATGTTGCAAATCTAGAGAAATACAAAATAAGTAAGACACGGCATTTGCAAGAAAAGAAATGCATTGATGAAATTGCTCACAATTCAACACTGTGATACCTTAAAAACTACTAGCAAGTGCAGATCAAGGGGCATTGGGGCTTGTTCTCCCCCCAAGACATGTTTACAATCAGAGGCGTAACTAGAATCCACCGGGCCTTCCCCTTCATTTGCCCCATAGCCAACCTCTCTCCCCTTCATTTGTCCCACAGCCACCCTCTCTCCCCATCCTGCTCCATATGCAGGCATGAGGCCACTTCAGTTGTAAGAAAATGAATTAGGCTTTGTGATAGGAGGGAATACAGGCATTTGGAAAGACGAGGGGACATAAGGACTCTTCTCACAGTGGTATGGGGGTTTGGAGAGAGAGGGGACATAAGAACTTAGGTGTTAGAATGTCTCTCAAGTAAGGGTTAAATTACTCAGTTGTCAGGCTCAGTGAAGTCATACTGGCTCTTTGTTTTCTAATAAATTATTTCAGATTATTGTAGTTCACTTTTCCTATTTAGGAATTACCATGAGAACACCAAGTCGTTCGACTGAGTCCCCTGGTCTGCATGGTTTTGTGTTACATAGATCCTTTGCAGCCTGTATCCATTACTACTATTACTCTACACATTTGGCTGTTGCCCTTGGCTCTGACATCCCAACTATTCTGTTGCTATATCCTGTATTCTGTGTCTTACCAAATATCTGAACTTGGCATTTATATTCTAACAATGCTTACAATGCTCCTGACCTGGATTCTGACCCCGACTTTGCTTTTTGTCGTAGCCATTATTGGATGGATTCCCAGGATTAAAATTTGCTTAATATTGGACTCTGCCCTTTCGCCAAAACCCCAACAGAGCTCCAAAGTGTATGTTACAGTAAATCCAAACACTCACTTATTGTCTTGTAGCAAGACTATGCATTCTCTCCTCATTCGGCTTGTTCTCCATAATTTACTGTGTACATGGGGATTTGGGGAAAGAAGGGATACATAGAAAGGAGAGGGCATAGGGCCATAGGAAGTGAAGGGGGCCCAGAGACTTAACAAGAGGAAGTGACATAGAGACCTAGTAAGATGCGGGGACATGGGTTTAGACTTTAGAAGAGGACGGGACTTTGGCAGGGGAGGAAATTTGGGTACTGGAAGTGAAATAGAAAGCAGATATAGGCCAATAACAAGGCCTGTGGAGAAATAAGATGTAAGGTTGTTAACGTTGCAGGGTTTTATCTACCTGACTTCCATTTTATTATAGTGGGATACTGTAGGTAATAAAAGAGAGAATGGGAGGTACTGTATGGATTTGTTTCCATCTTATCTTCCACAATGCCAACTACTCCACATTATTCCCTACAGTATCAACCCAAATGTACTAGCTTGTTTTATTGTTGTGGAGCTCAGCAATGCAATAATACACAATGAGCATTACATTAAAAGACATTTTGCAGTAAAATGTACAACACTGTGCATTGTTGATGAATATTCTTTTTTTTTACTCTGTTCTGATTAAATAATTTTCCAGTGGTTCTTCCACCCCTGATTACTATATATATTTACCTTAAGCGAAACATTGTTAGTTTACTCACCCAAACAAACAGGGACATCTGACCAACTTCCATTTTCACATACAATTGTTAGATTTCCCTGAGGCTTGTAAAGCTGCTGACATTGATAGTCTACTCTCGATCCCGAAGGGTATTCTGTATGGACTAAGGATTTAATTTCTCCATAGATGATTCTTGGAGGTGCTGGACATTTTTGTTCCATCTCTAAAATATTAATTTAAACATTAACAATACTGTACACTGACTGTACAAATGAAACAGTAACCAAGTAAGTAAAAAAATAAAAACACCCTGGGAATTAACACCTTAAGGACTGGACTGTTTTTGCGATGTTGTACATTTGCGACCAGGCATATTTTTACACTTTTGTGGTGTTTGTGGATAGCTGTAATTTTCCGCTCTCTTATTTACTGTTCCCATACAAATTATATATTGTTTTTTTCAGGACAAAAGGGGCTTTCTTTACATACCATTATTTATATAATCTCATGTAATTTAATTTAAAAATTTTAAAAAAATATGATGAAAAATTGAAAAAAATACATGTTTTTTTACTTTTACTTGAAAAATCTTTCTACAAAAGCGAATGAAAAAAACTGCTAAATAGATTCAAAATTGTGTCCTGAGTTTAAAAATACCCAGTGTTTACGTGCTTTTCTGCTTTTTTTTTTTTTTGCAAGTTATAGGGCTACAGGTACAAGTAGGATATTGCGGTTTCAAAACATTGTAACACTATTATCTGTCATAAATCTCTGAATAACACCCCACATGTACATATTTTATTTTAAATTAGACAACCCAGGGTATTCAATATGGGTTATGTCCAGTCTTTTTTAGTAGCCACTTATTCGAAAACACTGGCCAAAGTTAGCATTCATATTTGTTTGTGTGTGAAAAAAGTAAAAAACTAAATTGAACGCTAATTTTGACCAGTGTTTGTGACTAAGTGGTTACTAAAAAAGACTGGACATACCCCATTTGCAATACCTTGGGTTGTCTTCTTTTGCAAATGGTATGCCATCATGGGGGTAATTCTCATTCCTGGACTACCATACGCTCTCAAAGGCAACGTAATGAACCTGGCCATTTTCAATGTAAAACTATTTGACCCATATATTTGACCCTGTAACTTTCAAAAATGCTATAAAACCTGTACATGGGGGGTATTGTTTTACTCGGGAGACTTCGCTGAACACAAATATAAGTGTTTCAAAACTGGAAAACGTATCACAACAATTATATCATCAGTAAAAGTGCTGTTTGTGTGTGAAAAATGCAAAAAACGTCACTTTCACTGACAATATCATCGCTGTGATATGTTTTACTGTTTTGAATCACTAATATTTGTGTTCAGCGAAGTCTCCCAAGTAAAACAGTACCCCCCCCATGTACAGGTTTTATGGTGTCGTAGAACGTTACAGGGTAAAATACAGTGCTAGCAAATTAAATTCTCTGGACTTTCGACCTGGGTTGGCAGGCAGGTCTCTCAAATTGCAATCAATAAAATTACTTAATTATGTAAAAATATTACATAAATACGCACGTAGAATTTAAATATATATGCTACGTGTATATTTATATAATTATTTATGTAATTTTGTATATGGACATGTGTATATTTCGGATTATTTTTATTTATTTATATATACATAGATATATATATATATATATATATATATACACAAATTCATTCTAAGTGTATTTTGATATAAATACATATATTTTTAGATACAGTTAGAATAAAATTTCATATAGATATATATATATTTTTTATTATTAATTTTAAAAAATTTAATTTAATTTAAATTACTTATTATTTATATTTTATAATAATATATATATACTATCTATAGTTATTATATATATTATATAGATACACATGTGTAATTTAATTATAAGTATATTTTATATTAATATTTGTACATATTAATATAAAAATACTCTTAGTATGACATTATATATATGATATATAGACATATATTATATAAATATAATATATGTATGTATGTATATATATATATATATATACACATATATAATTTTTTTTTTTTTAATTAACACTAACTATTTTTTTGATTTTACACTAGCAGGGAGACTGCCTGCCTGTCAGTACAGGCAGTCCCCCTGCAGGCAGACACATGGACACCTATTGTGACCATGTGATCGCTGTGTTGAGTGTGGGGAGACTGTCTGGGCTGCAGGCAGGCAGTCTCCCCACAACAGGATCAACGCTGATCGCCGCCGGGGGAACGACGGCGATCAGGAAAGTAACTAAGACCGTTAGGACGGTTCAGGACCGTCAGCGGTCGGCAAGGCAAAAATGCAGATGACGGTCCTGAACCGTCCGCGATCCTTAAGGGGTTAAAGGAACACTATTGAGTGAGGAATAAAAACATGTACTGTATTCCTGACCCTGTAGTGTTAAAATCATTTAAGTGTCTGGCCAGTGAAGGTATCCCTTTTTTTTCTCTGAAAAGGCAGTGTTTACATGGAAATACCTGCAGGGAATGATTATACTCACCAGAAAAACGACATTAAGCTGTAATTGTTCTGGTGACTATAGTGCGCCTTAAAGACGCAAGGCACACTACAATATGACAAATTGCAATCTATTCATTTATTGTTGCACAATGCCTGCTGGATCAGCAAGGCAAATTAGGGTTTGTGACCCACTCCTTCAGCATTTTAGTCCACAGAAGAATTTCACACACAAGCAATGTTTGTGAACTCACTATTCCTGCCACAGTTCACTGAATCTGTGAGTTGATGACATCATGGGAAGCAGACAACTATGGGAACAACAATGGGTTGACTTTTCCTATAAATCTGACTTGGAACCAGAAAACATTAAGGTATTAACTCACTAAACAATTCATTCATTGTTAACAACTGAAAAGGTTATTGCAAATATTTGATCATTTTTACAGTGTTTTTTGGGTTTTTTTATTCCCTTGTCGAATATCCGTATTTTTGGTTTAATGAATGAATTCCTAAAATCCACTCTTTCTGAAGCCTAAAAATATTGGCTTTCAAATAAAGATGTATAAGAATGGAGGGTCTCTGAACTGTTTTGTAAAATATTTATTACAGTAACAAAACTTTACTATGGATGCTTAAGCAATATTCATGATGTACTCACTTAAACAGATCGGAGGTAAGGACCAGTTCCCACCAATGCAGATACTTTCCTCAGGTCCATTTAATTGGTATCCATTATCACATCTGTATTTGACATTACTCCGATTGCTTGTTGGTTCAATTTGTCCAAATCTTATAGCAGGTGGATTTTTACATTTATGCTCATCTTTAATTAACAAGAAAATGTTTTATTTTCACATCATTGTTGAATCAAGGTTGTCAGACAAGAAACTGCTATGTGCCACTCTTGTAGTCAAGCCTTCATGCAAATTTTAAATGAACACTTCACACATCATAACCCCCTATAGCATGCTATGTAATGTCCTGGCAGCCACACATAGTAAGAACACAAACTATTTTATAATTTTCACTTCTGAGTTGGGACCCGCTGGGCACTGTTTCCCACCTTCACTATATCTCAGCGAGAGCAGGAAGCTCTGTTCACTAAGCTAAGACTAACAGTGCAGGACTTAGCTCATTGGTTGGGAGAGATCAGCTGATTCTCTCAGCCAATGAGCTAGCACCGCATTAGCTCAGCCAATTAGCTAGCCCAGCTTACCTCAGCCGTGCTAATGGAAGCTCCTAAGCAAGAGCTCTCACTTAGCTGTAGTTAGGCGAGTAGAGAGATAAAGTAGAAAGTTTCCCCCTGGACAACTTGGGAAGAGGGAGCATGACTGCTGCACATGAATAAGGGGCTGGATTAAAAAAATATACAATGTTGCAAAGTGGTCAGTTTGGTAGGAGGCCAGGGGAGGAGACTCACCAGTCAGCAGGGAAAAGGGATTAAAATTGTGCTGTCGGCAGGGGGGGGGGGCGCGATGCCGGCGCGGAGTAAGGTGCGGAAGGAGGGCATCGCGGTGGCGGTATCCTGGAAAGCGCAAAGAAAAGGTTAAGATGAAGAGTCGCTTTGGGGAGATGACAGGCCGCACGGGAGCTGATAGAGAGTGCCGGCTGTTTAGGCTCATGGAAAAAGGTTGAGGGAACTGTCTGTTGGGCAACGGCTCAACAGCTGACAGATTTGTATAATGTTAAAAGTTATAAATGTAATAAAGCTGTGGCCATTGCCCTTATCCACTAAGAAGGTGTCCGGTGTGTTATTGGGGGGAAACGGTGGGGACATGGATTATGGGTCAGCAGTCAAGATAAAAAAAAGAAATAAAGACAGTGCACAACCAAACAGAACGTATTCAATTTCAGCACACCAATTAGATGGATGTCTTAAGCAAATTGTGATATACATCAGTGTTTCTCAACCTTTATGAAAAAAATAACACTCCAATCGAAAAAAGATCCTTGGTACCCCTGCCTCGAGAAAGTAATTTCTATTGATTTAACCCCTTAAGGACACATGACATGTGTGACATGTCATGATATTCTTTTATTTCAGAAGTTTGGTCCTTAAGGGGTTAAATTCCAAATGAATTGTGTAGACACTGATATTTACATTAATCCTATATTGGAGAACAAGCCTGACTAAGAGTAGTACCCACTGAGTTACAGATACTGGGTGGATCTACTTCACAAATATGCCATCACAGATTGTAAATCTCACAGTGGACACTAGATGGAGGAATTGTTCCACACTATGCTCATAATTAGACAATAACAATATGAGTAGAGAATGGTACTGTGCCTTCCCAGAATTACAGGACACATATAGATAAAGGTGATACAGATAAAGGTGATATAGACTGAACACACCAAATGAAACTCTGTAACTATTCTATTAAACGCTATTGAAATTTCAACTTGTGGGCCTGAACTCTGCTTTGGAATTACTAATGTAGATAGATACAGAGTGCAAGCTCTGAAGATCATTTGTTTATCCTCTTCAGGCATCATGCACAAGTAAATATTTGTCACATCTGTCTACTCTATTTCAAGCACTGACTACTTACAAATGCACTGTGGAAGAGACGTCCAGCTTCCATTGATACAGAGTATTGATTCTGAGCCATGTAGCTTGAATCCTGGCAGGCATTTTATCTGCACTTCCTCCCCATTAGAATAATGTTGTTTTGAAGGGATCTCCTCTGTGTTGCTTGGCCGTGGTCTTGGAGGACATCTGTCTCTGATTTCTAGAAAGAGCAGCAGAGATTTCAGATAGAATAGTCTAGAGGAGTACCCTGGCACCTGGGCTGGCTCAGACAACTTACTTGGGGTCCACCAGGTGTCAGTGATCTCCTACATAAGAGCTATGTGTGTTCAGGTATAACATTCCAAAACACCTGTAGACACCTTGTAGATCACATAAACATTGGGTTTTTGCACTAAACCAGGAGTTGAAATTTTCAGGTCAAAATATTTTTTTTCCAATTAAGCTATTTTGACCAGGGTTGGGTTTCCCATTTAAAAGAATAGGTACCTGCCTAGAAGCACCTGTCCTGTAGGGCAGGGGTGGATCCAGAACCTAATCTCGGAAGGGGCACTGGTAGATTATTTAAAGAAACAATCCAGGAGCAATAACCACTACAGCTCTCTTTAGTGGTTGAGGTGCCAGGAGTGCCATGGCGCCCTCATAGAGTAAGTAGCCAAACTGTTCAAGAGCAGTTTGACAACATACTTGGGCTCTGCACGGATAGGGGCTGTAGTAGGGCATAGGGGCAGTATAGTGTGTGTGAGGGTTGAAGTGTGTGTGTAAGGGGTACAACTGTGTGTATGGGGGTTGCAGTGTATGTAAAAATCTCCTCTCCTGCCCGTGAAGGCACCCAGCAGGGCCGGCGCTTGCATGGACTGGGAGAGGAGGGCAATGGAGAGAGAGCACCTGGACACTATTTTCTATGCAGAATAGTCAAAGCATTCCAAATTACCGACGGCATAACACAGGAAATCAGCCTGTTTAGATTAACTATAAGCTGCCCACGTAAAAAGATCTCGTTAATTGTGGTTCATATATAATTGATTCCTTCACAAGAGTTTAAAGAACACCAATGTGTGTGAGCAAAAAACACATCCACTTTGACAGGTAACATTGAGGACATATATGGATATTGTCCATTACCATAGAGGTAATACTGCTTTATTGGTTGTGTTTTTAATAATAGTTGATGGACAAGCTTGAAGTAAGCTGGATCAATTAGAAAATACTAGTAAAAAACAGTGGCCACAGAATGAAACTCTAAATGGTCTTGTGTCCATATATCCTAAAGAAGGCCTTCATATCACAAATGGACATTGTAAAGGACTCCTGTGGACAGTCTATTACATCCAAATATCTATCCATTCCTGTTAACTATTTGTTGTGGTGAATATGTACAACTTTACAATGGCTTGAGTTGTAGCAATGTTACTTCATAAATCACCCCCATGTAAATTTCAGGTTTCTCTGGTATATAAAGTCCACTCTCCTACTCTGCCCATAGATGCACCTCTATCTCCAACCTGCTTGTGCCTCTTCCCCTCAGTTGCCCCTTTTTGCCCCAAACTCTCACAGTTTTCTCTTTTTGCATTAAAAGTCCTCATCCTTAATGTGTCTCCATAACACTCCTCTAGCCCTCTGTTACGGTACCTCCAGGAACGAAACGTACAAACCGCCGTTTAGCGAGTATTCCCCGTTCGCAATAATGTGGTCGGGTAGCGGGTATAATAAAACCATGCGAACGCCAGTCAGGGAACACTCCAAACTCCCGAACGGTACCTGTACGGCTAATTCCCTTCGCAAGCCGCAAATCCATGAACGGCAATTAATAACCGAACGACAATCTCTCCCAAGCGGCAAATAATCCAAGTAAGCAGTCTCTCGCCGCTAGTATCCAAATCCCCCCAATAACGAGACCAAGCTCCGCTTTGAGGGTAAAACACGAACTGGTTTACTGTGGGCTACCTGCCCGGTATTTATGCAGGTCTCCCACTTGGTGGACACTCCCCTAGGGGACCAAATGGGAGACTGAAATCACAGAAGGACATGGGGACATTCTGGACATACATCCCCACAATATTCCCAGCATGCAGTACAGTTCCCTCCCCTCTGCTCGGGGGATAATTGGGAAGTAATTCAATTATCTCCCCGAGCAGAGGCAATCGCCATTTTAGATACAAGTTACAAAAACACACAAAAATCCATAACTTAATAACTGCTGAACATTTTACATCAGTCTTGCATATCCCCAGATAGCCTGGATCTGAGGGCACATTATTGGAGAATAGCGCTCAGATCCCATTCGCACAGTTCAATCGCCATGGAGTCAAAGTCTCTTTCAGTTCTTCGGTATGCGATTGACTCCATGGGACGGCTATCTGGGTTAAGTCCATTCGTGTGGTTGAATCTCCCGAACGGCTGTCGTTCGCATGCTTTTGTCGATTGAGAAGGGGAGGTCGACGGCTTCAGCGGTGTTCGGCTGAAAAAGTGTCCGCTTTCCGATCCATGAAATAATCGTTGAACACCGCTGGTCGTTCGCATGGACAAAATGGCCGCCGCCTCGTGGTCGACATACGAACGACGACCACCCGGCATTCGGTTTTTAATTGAGAAGTGTCTGTGGTTAACCGCAACGCTCTAATTGGGATCAATAGGTTAACCAGCAGCACACTTCTCTTCTGGGTGGCCGTCCGTTCGGTAGTTCCGTTCGACAAAACCGACATTCCCTTAAACAAAGCATACGAACGGGGAAATTCATGAAAACGGAAAAACAGACGAACAACGCAGTTATAATCCAGACAGATGGGTCTGTCACACGCTCTTAATACCCTCTTGATTTCTCATGTCTCTTAATACCTCCCCCCACCCCCATGTGTCTATTAGCAGGGCTGGCACTACCATGAGGCAGCACAATGTCCAGGTGACCAGATGGAAGGAAGAGGGCAGTACACCCCTATCTGCCGGTCACTGCGTGTAGTATAGCCGAGCTGCTCCATGGCATCCTCCAGCTCTGGTTCATGCCGTAAGCTATGTAGAGGGGGCAGGGGATATGAAGCACATTATATCCTTGCCTTCTGTGTTCCACACAGTGTGGCTAGTCCCTAAGTGATGGGGCTGGACTGGAAATGTGACTCCACATAGCCAACCATCATGCTCTCAGGATAGCTGATTGCACAGGGCTGACAAGTAAGTATGTAAATGTGATTGTATGTATGCTGATATGCCTGTGCTTGTATGTCTCTGTATGAATGTATATGTTTTTGTATGACTGTGTCTGTATGTATGTGCATATATGACTGAGTTAGGGGGGAAACAGAGAGACATTTACCTTCACAGGTAGGCAATGGTGGATCCCAGCCATAATAATGGCACTGGCTGATTTCTGAACCGTTCAACATCAAACCATCATCACATGAGAACTTTGCCACCTCACTATTTCTATAGATTAGGCGTTTGCTCAGGACACCAGTTGTTGATGGTACTGTGCATGTAATTTCTTAATGGAAAAATAAAACATTTTGTAAGTTCATTGTATCTCAAGCAATGTACGTAATCATAGCATCCGTTTTAGCTCATTTCCAAAGACAGTGACCCTTGATGTTACAGGTTATCTTTAAAATAGCCAATTTTGTTACTTGGATTTGAGGAGAGCAGTTAGAAATTAGAAGGTTTATTAGGTTAATTTTGATAATATTTCAATCGTCAGTCATTAATACTTTGCTTGCAAAATCTGAGTTTGGTTATTAAGCTTTTGAGGAATGTAGTGGTTTTATGTATATGCTTTAACAACTATGGTAATTTATTTTAAAAAAGGGTAGCTATAATTTTATTGCTTTATTTTTTATGTACTGGAATATGTTACTGTTACATTTGAATGTACTAATCAAAATGTGCAAATGTGAAGTACATACCAATACATTGAAGAATTGTTGACCACCCAGATGAAAGACACATGGTTTCCTCCACTATATTTTTGTGTGGACTCACATAACCTTCATCACATTGGTACTGCAAATGCTCCCCAGTTTTAAAAAGGGTTTTATTTGGTAGCTGCTGTCTATTCTCGAAAGAGGATACTTTGCAAGTACCTAAAATTAAAAAACAAACAAATCTGAATTAAATGAAAAGCAAGCCCATTTTATTACAACCCTCCTTAACCACGTTTCTATTGACCTTAACCTGTTTATTTCTTTTTTTGTTGCATTTTTATCCACATTTACATTGTGCAATGTAACCTAAAATGTTGGTACTTTATTAATATTATTAAAGGAACACTTCAAGCACCTTAACCACTACAGTGTGCTCTTTTGGTTATGGTTCCAGCTGTGTCCTGAGGGCACCCTCCAAAATTGCAAGTAGTCAAACTGTTTCAGTTCTGACCCCTTACCTGGGGTCTACCAGCCTCACTTTTTGTCTTCTCTATTTCCAACAGAGAGCTGAAACCTTTCTGTCTGAGCAGAAGACTGAGAGCAATCAGCTGACCCTATCCGCCAATGAGCTAGCCCTTCAGGATTTCAAAACAGTATGTCTTCTTACAATGGTGAATGCCAGTGCACACCTGACATAAAAACACCTACAGCGCACTGTAGTATTTATGGTGCTTGGCGTTTTGGCTGTGGCAAAATAGGGGTTCAAATATTGCTAAGATAGTTATTCACCAAACTGGAAAGTTGGTCATTGCAAATGAATAGCAAAATTGAGGACAAACTAGCTGAGCTGAAAAAGTTAATTTAGTTCTGAAGGCTGGCCAATTCATGGAGCAGAAGCAAGAAACAAAACAGGGCTTTCCACACACCGGGTATGACAGTATGTCAGCAAGTTTAAGACATGATGGAAAGAACATTGGAACAGTAGAGGGAAAGCCAAAGTCTATTTTCAGACCAGTATATTGGCATTAAGTCCCCATGGGGGATGACGATTGGACAATAATAGGGCAGCTAGTGGCAGTCCTTAAACGTTTTAGAAATGTGACAGAAATTTTGAGCCATGGTAATGCCAGGTTGAGATACGGCATCCCCTTATTTGCCAGATAGATGCCTTCCTGAAAAACAGGGAGGTTGCTCTTGATAGTACACTGCAGTAACTGCAATGGTCAGGAGGCTGGAAGATGTACTGAAATCTCATGTTAGCAAATTGTTTGATAATTACCTTGTGTGATCCTCTGGTTTTTGTTTTATTTTAATTCTTTTTTTTATTTATAGCTGCACATAAATTAGCAAATAACAATTGGTGAGATTTGGTTTAAGCAGCATTTTCAGTAAACATTAACAAGGGCAGAAAGCCCAGAAAAGATTTATACAGAGAAAACCATGAATAAATCATTGAAGAAACATACAAAATATAAGTGCTGCGGCCGGAGAAATTTGCATGCATATTTGATTTACTCCATACCAGAGGTGGTCCAATGTTTGAAATGATAAGTACATTACCCAACGTGAGGGATATCTTTATTATAGAGGTTGCATCGGGAGCTGTTGCAAGAAGGTGTGGCTCTAATATATCAAACTGAAAGATTTAAAGGGACACTATAGTCACCCAGACCACTTCAGCTCAATGAAGTGGTCTGGGTGCCAGGTCCTCCAAGTTTTAACCCTTCAGATGTAAACATAGCAGTTTCAGAGAAACTGCTATGTTTACATTTCAGGGTTAATCCAGCTTCTATTAACAGTCTTCCTGACAGCCGCTAGAGGCGCTTCTGCGATGCTGGATTAGAAAATCGCATCCAGCGTGCAGAACGTCCATAGGAAAGTATTGAGAAATACTTTCCTATAGACTGTTTGAATGCGCACGCGGCTCTTGCCATGCATGCGCATTCCGCTCCACTCGGGAGCTGACATCGGCGGAGGAGGAGAGGTCACCAGCGCCAAGGGAGCCCGCTGCTGGATTAAGGTAAGTAACTGAAGGGGTTTTAACGCCTTCAGCGCCAAGGGAGGGGGGCCCTGAGGGTGGGTCCCAAGGATGATATAGTGTCAGGAAAACAAGTTTGTTTTCCTGACACTATAGTGATCCTTTAAGTTTACTTAAACACACCAAAGTATATTTACTGTCAGTTACTGGTTTGTTTGTTTTTTACTGGGGTTCTTCTCTAATACACCAAGTAGTTTGATTTCTTAGAAAAGAGGAATATTAAGAATTGTGGCCTAAAGCCAGAACTCTTACAGCCTGAAGAAGAACACATGTGATGTATGTATATGTATCCTGTCTGCACCTCCTACTAAATATATCTCTGCTTTTGTTTTTGTTTTGTTTTTTGTTTTTTTTGTCTTTATTTAATATATCAAGAATCATTCAAAGAAATCAGTCATAATATATAACATTTGTAGACTTACCTTGATTTTCTCCTTCTGCGGTGAAAAATACTGAGCAAGTCAGTAAAATGAGAGCCATGAAAGTGGTAGCATAATCCTGATCGTTCATTTTAGTTACAGAGTATGCAATCAGAGGCTACTCCCAAGTAACTTTTACTCCTTTGATATTTTGTATCCTCAGAAATGACTGTGTTGACTTAATGAGCAAGCTGTGTACTATCATTTGACATCAAATTGTATTACTCATCTTGTTGAAATGCTGTACTTTTTCTTGGCAATTATTTTTCCGTTTCCAGTTTTAGTTATAGTTTCGTTTTCTTCTCTCCAGACCTGTCCCAACAGAAACTGGTTACTTTGCAAAAGCAAAAATAACAGAACCTTTTTTTAATTTTTTATATTTAAAGAGCTGAGTTTGTTATGCTTGTGGGTTTGCTGTTTGGACAGATGTGGCTTGTTCTGTTAATCTGTGTGGGGGAGGCTGCTTGTGGGCTGTTTGTAGTGTATCGTGTGTGGGGGTACTGAATGTATTATGTGTTTTTGTGGATAGGGGTTATAGTATGTGTGGGGGAAATAGGAGCTATTGTGTACTTCTGAGGTGATGGTTGTTGCATATTTGATTTACTCCATACCAGAGGTGGTCCAATGTTTGAAATGATAAGCACATTACCCAACGTGAGGGATATCTTTATTATAGAGGTTGCATCGGGAGCTGTTGCAAGAAGGTGTGGCTCTAATATATCAAACTAAAAGATTTAAAGGGACACTATAGTCACCCAGACCACTTCAGCTCAATGTTGGGTAATGTGCTTATCATTTCAAACATTGGACCACCTCTGGTATGGAGTAAAACTGAATAGGGGGAATAGAGGCTGCAGTGTTGTGGGGCGGTAACAAGGAATGGAGTGTGGGTGCGGGTAGCGGCTATAGTGTGTGTTTTTGGGGGGATAGAGACTGTAGTGCATGAGAGATAAATAAATGTTGTAATGTGGTGTTAGAGCCTGTAGTGTAGGGGATAATTAATAATATAAATAACTATATATTTTTTTAAATATCCCATCCCCATCTCTTGCCGACTTTGGGCCACTGAGGGGGGACAGATGATCGATCTCTGGCGCTCTTATGGGCTGTGTATCAGGGCTGGAAGGAGCACTACACTTGGTTTGCACCCACTTGGCACTGGGGAGGAGAGGGGTTTCACTTAGGTGCAAAACCCCGTTTAAATGGGCACTCCTTCTCTGATTGGTCGTCTGCGCCTTGCAGCGACCAATCAGCGCTCACTCAACCTATCACAAGAATGGTGCGAACCCACTTTGAATGGGAGTTCCTTCTCCTATTGGTCGGCATGGACTTCCAGGAGGCAAGCAGGACCACTGTGGTTTTGAAGCCAACTTACAGCCCCAGGGATCCCGCTTGCGCCTCTCTCGGGTGGCTACCTCCACTTAGGCAGCCCAGGGGACAGTGACAATAGCTCCGTTAGGAACAGGTATGGTGAGCCCTGACACTCGGACCTGAAACCGTCCGGGCACACCAGTTGCCAATACAAATGCTTCCCCTTGTTGGCGTTCGGCTAAATGAACCGGCGGCCACTCTAATGAGCATTATAATAGGGACATCAGGGTGGTCCCCTTTCAGGAGATGAACGGGTCCTGTTCGTATGAGCTCTCCCAAACGAGAGAACAGGCAAAACACACAAAATACATACAAGTACAAGGGGAAAACACAGAATACAAAGGAAAAACACACAAATAAGCAGTGGGCATGGTACTTAGTCCGCCACACAAATGAACAAAGAGAGACAGTTTAATTTAAGGGTGTGAGTAGGCATGTGGGCGGCATGGATGAGGGCTGTTCTGAGATATTTTAAAATGTAATATTAAAACAAGCACAATGCATCTTATTTACTCAGAACATTTTCTAAAAAGATTTTTATAGGTTGAAGACCTAGTGAGTATCATTGCTTTGGAGACAAGGTATACATTCAGATACACCAACAATATGGAGCTCCTAGACAAGGTGGACATAAGCACAGAAAATAGGGTCTGTTTCTATAAAACAAGGACATTTGGGAGGTATGCCTTATCCCCTGACCTTGCACGGTATATTACCCAAAGTAACTTCTTGTGTCTTCCACGGAAGCCCCTTCTGAGTTTCCCCTTATGCCCTTAATTCCACATCACTTACCTGGTCTTGGATCATAGATGAGTGGTAACTCAGCTGAGACTCGGCATGTTTCCCTGGCCAGTCTGTACAGTACAGCTCCCCTGCCCCCATTTATTATTAGTGTGCAGATGGATAAATCTAGACACATTAAAATACTCTAAGTGCATCAAATATTTTTCTGTCATTGGAATGTTAATCCTTCATTAGTTACTGTAAATAAAGAATCATTAAAAAGTCAGAGGCCTATATTTTACTCTGGTTCATTCATTAAAGGGACACTATAGTCACCAGAACCACTACAGATTAATGCAGTGGTTTAGTGTCTATAGCCTGTCCCTGCAGGCTTTTTAATGTAATGACTGCCATTTCAGAGAAAAGGCAGTGTTTACATTGGTGCTCAGATGGCCACTAGAGGTTCTTCTTGTGTGCAGTAATAGCGTTCAGAGTCTCCACACTCTGCATAGAGGTGCGTAACATTCCTTATAGAGATGCATTGATTCAATGCTGTGAGGGGTGTAGTGTGTGTGAGGGGTGTAGTGTGTGTTTGTGTGTGAAGGGTGCATAGAGCTGTGTGTAGGTGGATGAGATGTGAAAATCTATCTTAATGTTTCCCCCCTCCCATCTTCTTACCTTTTACCAGGCATGGGGGGCATAATGCTGCAAGTCCTGGTGGTCCAGTGGTGGCATGCTCACTTTAGCCTGCAGCTCCTCTGGCTGCAGGCTGACTGTCCTGTCCTCCTGCGAGCACAGCACTGTATCAGAGCATTGCCATGGTAACGTGAGGCAACTCTCCGACCAGCCTGCTCGCAAATGGCCCTCCCAGGCCCTTCCCTCCCTCTTATGTAACTAAGTGCCAATAGGTCAGTGAGGGTGATCTCCTCACTAGCCAGAGCAAAGCTGTCTCTGCATGGGGCGGCACGGGAGATAAAAGGATCTCCCCTGCCGGCCTTGGTCCACAGCCATAGAGGCCCACTGGGCGTTTTCTGCAGAACCCACCACCGCCCACTGTAAATCCCAAACTGCCCACTAGTGGGCGGTAGGGACCAGGTTGACTACCTCTGATTTAAAAAATGATTCTGTTTAGACATCTAAATTCTGCCTGAACTCATTTTTTAATAATTGAAATGTAAATTCAGCAAATTCACTGTTGCTGTATCTCTCATGCAGAGAGAACTTGCCGGCATTTCAGATCTGGACCATCCTTATAGGTGGGATCAGTTTGATATGCATATGGTATATGTTCTCTCAGTAATGACACACATGAGCAAAAACAATTTTGAGACCTAAGCCATGATTTACCCAAGGGCAAGCTATTGAGTTTCTCTAAGCCTTTGCCCATAATCAAAATTCTCATTCTCTGTTTATGATCAATATCAAGTTCCTGTTTCTACAAATGGGAACCAAATGAAATGGCGTAGGGATCCAAATCATGCAGGAGCATGGTGGTGTGGTTGCATGTCTGTAAATTGCCAGGCAAGAGTCTGTAATCCAGAACCATAATTCTAAATGATGATATAGCAGCATATATTACAGGACAGACAATATTTACAGACAGATGAATTATACCAGTAATGGGTGACATAGGTGTTCACCAGGGGTATGCCCCACCAAAATTCTGGAATTCAGAGACAACTGTGCTCCCCCCTTTCTCTCTCCCCTCCCCCCTCTCCAATGTTCTGTCCCTTTCTGCACTTATGGGCTAATTTGAAATAACTATTTACATTGTCAACAACAGAGATTATCTTTGTAAATGCCATCTGTATCTAGATCAAATAGTTTTTGTTTTATTTCTGAAGTTTGTATTGGGTGTTCAGGTGTTAATATAAAAAATAAAAAAGATGGATTTTAATCCATTGATAAAGTCTATATTGGTGAAACGCGTTTGGATATTGTACTGCTTTTTAATAACTGTTAATAAATAGATTTTGGTCGTTTTATTCTTTTGCACCATTATCTTTTATTTATTTATTTATATATTTTATTTTGTATTATAACTACCTGTCTTTTTTCCTAATTATCTCCTTTACTCCTAAGAATCCATAGGTGGGGATTATACCACCCGTGCCTGTATCATAGAGCAGTTAGCCTGCCTTATACATTGTGAGTTTATTTTATTATATTTTATATACCAGCATCATTTTATATAGAGCACTATTGCCGTTTTATTTTCTTCTCCCTGAGCTCCTGCTACCATCTTAAAGAACTATTTCAAAGAACGCTTACCATATATCCTAGAGGCAGGGATCATACCGCTGTATGCCTACTACACTAGAGCTAGTATAAACTCTATTAAGTGTGAGTGTATCTACTATATTCAAATACTTTTTATCCACTTTTGGAACATACTGCACCATCACTGTTTTTTTTTGTTTTTATCTCCCCCCTGGCTTTCTGTCACAACACCGAAGAGGAGACTCACCGCATATCCCATAAGCGGGGATCATACTGCTTCAAACTATTCATACCTGACCTGAATTATGCTCTATAAAAAGTCTGTATTATCTCTTCTATTTTATTTGGATACCTTTTGGATCACCCTTTACCACTATTATTTTCATCACTCATCGCCCTCCTCCATATACCTGTAAGGAGCGAAACTCCTTACAGGTATTTGGGAGACCAACATAAGACCAAAGTTCCATTATACTGGACTCTATTTCAATATTACTACCTCAACCAGGACTTTTAATTTCATTTAATTTGCCCATTGGCGCAGTTCCATCCCTTTGTTTGTTTACTTGCAATAATAGGCCAGACAGGAAACAATTTGTACGTTAACCAAATAATCAAAAAACAAAAAATAGTCCAAATAGTATAATGGAGGAATGAATAAGAAGTCCAGTTATATTGGTTGCTGTTGTGGATCTGAGTCGTGGAGATCTCTGGATAACGGTGAGTCTATTTGAGAGCTAGTACAAGCTCAGGTGGGATGAGTATTCAGTGGTGATC